TCGGGGCTGAGAGGCTGAAGGCCACCGATGGTAGGGCGGTTGGGGCGGGGGACGTGGAGCAGACCGGAGCCAGAGGAACGGAGGGTACGGGCAGGTAGGTAGGGGGATAGTAGGTCAGAGAGGTAGGAGGGAGCGAGGCCGTGAATGGCCTTGTAGGTGAGGATGAGGATCTTGAAATCGATCCTCTGGGGGATGGGGAGCAGTGGAGGCGAGCGAGGGCGAGGGTGGGAGTGATGTGGGCGCGAAGCCTGGTGCGAGACAGTACACGAGCTGTAGAGTTCTGAATGACCTGCAGCTTGTGGATTGTAAACGGCTCTCATCAATAATTCAACATCCCATCAGATAGTAGCTGGAGTGGGAGTCCCTTTGAGTGCTGTAACGCACACATAGTGCAACGGCTTTTGAGGTTAATACACTCAGTATATGGAAATGAAGAGGAGGTGATAGTGTGGTATATAGAAATACTATTGGCAGATGTTGGAATGGACCCTGGCTTGCTCGGGTGCTCAGTTGGATGGAATTATTGTCTGTTTAAACTTTGATGGTGAGTTACTCTAACCCCAGGAGATCTGTGATGCGAGCAACTGGAGACAGCTCGTGCCTGTCACTGTGTGACGCAGTCTGGCGCTGATGGACAGTAGCTGTGGGCCGGGGTACTGGACACACAATGGAATCTGGCTGCTCCATCGTTAGTCACTCTATGCCTTGCTGTTCTTTAGGACTTGCTGTTTTGCCCACAAATGTACAGTCAATTTACTTTACAGTATATTCTGTGAAGTGCTTTGAGACGTCTAGAAGACATAAAAAGCGCTATATCAAATGCAAGGATTATTATTATTTTGGACCTTTCCTTTGAGATCAGCTTTACTGCACAAACCCAACTTCATACAATTTCACTCTGCATTCATATTGTAATACTTCAGGTGAAGCCTTTGGGGGAGAAGTAGAGTCCTGTAGTGTAGAGGTTAGAGCATTTGTTTCGCAAGCCAAAGGACCTGGGTTTAATTCCCGGGCAGGGTGAAATGGTACATAAGTTTCCTTACTCCACACGCCTCTGTTTACCTAGTGGTAATTAGGAACCTGGTTGTTAGTCGATTGACAGATCGCTTTTTTGGGTGTAAAAAACCCTTCAGAAAAATAATAATAATAATTGGTCACTTCAATCGACAACTGTTTGTGGGACGCTGCTGAGCCCAATTGGCTGCCGTGTTTCACCCACAAATACAGTCAATTCACTTTGCAGTATATTCTGTGAAGCGCTTTGAGACATCTCGAAGGTGCAATAAGGTGTTATATCAAATGCAAGTATTATTATTATAAAAACGGTTCAATCTCTGGAGTTGGTGCTAATCTGGTCTGTGTCTCTCCTGAAGGCACTGACTTGTGTTAGGTTTGGACAGATCCCGACTTCCCTGCAACTCATCAACAGCCAGATTCTTCTATTTTGTTCATGGAGAAGTGAAGCAGTGTGTGGGTACTTCACGCCTCAGCAGCCCAGAGATTGCTGTATCTTGTCTCTAACCTTGTCTCCCCTGTAACTCTCAGGCACAGAACAAACAGACAGGAATCCTGGCAGCAGCCAAGGTGATTGAGACAAAGAGCGAGGAGGAGCTAGAGGATTACATTGTGGAGATCGACATCCTGGCCTCGTGTGACCATCACAACATCGTCAAGCTTCTTGATGCCTTCTACTATGACAACAAGCTGTGGGTACGTGTTGCCCTCACCCTCTCCTGCCAATACCACCCTCACCCTCTCCTGCCAGTGCCGCCCTCACCCTCTCCTGTCAGTGCCGCCCTCACCCTCTCCTGTCAGTGCCGCCCTCACCCTCTCCCTGTTAGTGCCGCCCTCACCCTCTCCCTGTTAGTGCCGCCCTTACCCTCTCCCTGTTAGTGCCGCCCTCACCCTCTCACAGTCAGTGCCGCCCTGTTCCCCCCAGTCAGTGCAACCCTGACCCAGCTCACAACATCGCTATCACTGAGAAGCTGTGGAAGAGGGTTTGGATAAGATGCCGTGCCCTTTACTGTGTCGTGTACCATTCTTCCCCAGATCCTGATTGAGTTCTGTGGAGGAGGTGCTGTGGACGCAGTGATGCTGGGTGAGTGCGGGAGCGAGGCTGGGGCCTGCTGGCACACGGCAGGATGTTGCTGTTTACAGTGTTAAGAAGAGAAGAAACCCTGAAACAAGACCAACTCACTCCCTCATTGGCCCATAGAAACCGTCAGGGATCATGGACTGCCTGCACCTGCCCACTTTACCTCTCGTCCTCTCTGATCCCAAAGCAAATGCTCCTAAATATCCCTCCTGATTTAATGCTAGGAAATGTTGTTGATGCAGACACCATAGATTAATTTTGGAGCCTGAAGTGGAGGAACAGTAAGAGAGGGAGTGTATGACTGGGGAGAGATGAGGTGACTTGTCTGTCTGGAGAAAATCAACAGCACAGACTTGATTGGTCGAATAGCTGGTCAGGACATTCCTCGGGAGCCTGATGTAGTCAGTGTAATGGGATATGGAGCAATGCCCTTGTGCTGCTGTGGCCTCGTCTCTCCTGGAGCTCATGTAGCTGCTTTCCGCAGTTGGGAAGGAATTTTCCAGGAAATCTGTTTTCCTCCTGATTTGACCTTCAGTGATTTGGGTTATATTTATTGGGAATATTTGCTGTGTGTGTGTTTCGGAGAGGCGGGATGTTTGCTGTACAGTGAAAGGGCTTGGCTGGCTGGTTGGTTAAGCTGTTTATCCTGGGAGCTGAGGTCAGAGCGGGCGGCGGAGACCAGGTCCTGCAATGAGGATTCTCTCACCTTCCAGAGCATCAATATTCCTGTGGCTCACGAGGCCTCCCAATGGCTGGATATGGTACTGCAGAGGCAATTCTCCAGCGCGGGAGGTGCTGTCAAAATAAAATCTTTCTCGTTTGTCTACAAATACATGATTTTTACACACTGGATTGCAGTCTCTAACTACTGTCCCATCTCCAGTCTTCCTTTTCTCCCCAAGGTCCTGGAACGATTCATTGCTTCCCAGCTTTGCTTCTTCCTCTCCCACCACTCTGTGTATGAACCTTTTCAGTCTGACTTCCGTACTACCCACAGCACAGAGACAGCCTTAGTCAAAGTTACAAAACATTCTGTCCTGTCACCAAGGAACTTTACTGTAAGGTTGAGAATATTAATGAAACTAGGCAGTTCTTTAATAGAAAGGGTTTTTTTCCCCCTGGATTTCATTAGGATTATTCAAGGCAATTTTAGATCACACCGCATATCCCAGAGCCCCTCTGCCTTGTCCCCTCCCTCCCCTCTAAAGACTGCCAAAGACCTATCTTTTAGACTGCTTTCAGCTTGGGCTGGCAGTCAGCTGTGCTCAGTGCTTTAACACGTCCTGCTGATGCCCCAGAGGATCGAATTCAAGATCGTCATCCTCACCTACAAGGCCATTCACGGCCTCGCTCCCTCCTACCTATCCCCCTACATACCTGCCCTTACCCTCCGTTCCTCTGGCTCCGGTCTGCTCCACATCCCCTGCCCTACCATCGGTGGGCGGGCCTTCAGCCTCTCAGCCCCGAGGCTCTGGAACTCCATCCCCCAGTGCCTTCGCCGCCTCCTCCCTTTCCTTCTTCAAGGCCGGTCTCAAGAGCTTTCTCTTCAACCGTGCCTTCAGCTCCCCTCTCGCCTCTCTACCCCCTCCTCGCTCCCTCCCCTCACCCTGACCATTTCCCCCCTCCTCGGGTCCCGACCCAACTGTCCAGCGCCTTGGGATGTCCTCCCGACGTGAAAGGCGCTCTATAAATGCAATCTTGTTGTTGTTGTTGATGTGATAGGAATGTAAATTGTGGTTGTGGGTGGCTCTATATGCTCTCATGTGGCTGTTCTAGTAACAGCTGTTTATGTCTGTGTCACAGAATTGGAGAGAGCCCTGACTGAACCCCAGATCCGTGTGATCTGCAGACAGACACTGGAAGCTCTGATCTACTTGCACGACAATAAGGTGATCCACCGAGACCTGAAGGCTGGAAACATCCTACTCACACTGGATGGAGATGTTAAACTGGGTAAAGCTCTGCACCTTGTATTGGAATCGAGTCCATCTGTGTGTCTGTAGTTCAATTGCTGCGCCAGGCGTGTGCGCAGCACTTCCGGTCGTTGCTGATGGCAGACCAGCCTGTTGTCAGCCGTGCTTGGAGTCTGGTCACTGATAGACAGTGACGCTGCTGGGTGTGAGCACACAGAGCTATGGTAAATCCCTGAATGGAACTCCCATCACGGATTCCCTCTGGCTCTTGCCCCCTCCCTCCCCACCATTAAAGTCCAGCTTCAGACTTGGCTCTTTGAACTAGCGGGGGCTGGCAAGGATGCTTGTGGAGTGCCGTAGCGTAAAGGTTAGCGGGCACGCCTCGCAAGTGAGAGGACCCTGGTTCAATTCACGGGCAGGGCGCAACCTTATGCAAGTTTCCTTACTCCACACACCTTTCGTACTGTTTTCCTAGTAAGTAGGAACCCGGTTGTCAGTTGATTGGTGGATTGCTTTCCGGGGGGTTAATAATTCCTTCATTTAAAAAGTGTGGTCACACAATCCATGAGGGTTTTTGGGACCCTGCTGTGCGCATTTTGTCCACAAAACATACAGTCACTATACTTTATAGCATATTATGTGAAGCTCTTGGAGATGTCACGACAACGTGATAAGGCACTGTATCAAATGCCAGGTTTAATATTATTATCATTTTGATTTATTATTATGTATTATTATCATTATGTTATTATGTATTATTATTTGTTATTATGTTATTATTAGGTATTATCATCATATGGTATTATGTATTATTATTTGTTATGGATTTTATTAGGTATTATGTATTATTAGGTATTATTATCATCATTTTGTGTTATTATTATGTATTATCATTAAGCGCCTGGTCTGGGGTCGGTGCTGTCGAGGTGGCTGCCCACAGGCCTGGGAGCCGGAGAGTAACGTTGCTCTTGTTTTTCAGCTGATTTTGGTGTCTCTGCGAAGAACACGAGGACAGTGCAGCGCAGGGACTCGTTCATCGGCACCCCTTACTGGTAAGCCATGGCTCCTGCTCCTCTCACACTGTCCACAGTGAGCTGCTCCTCAGTGTTGCCGCGCTGTGAGTGTGTGTGCACGCGTCCGTGCGGGTTGTGGGTGTGCATGGGCTGTGTGCGTGTATTAGAGAGGCTTATTGATGTGTCCTGCACACACTGTGACCTGATTCCCTGTGTGTGTGTTTGGCTAGGATGGCCCTGAGGTGGTGATGTGTGAGACCTCGAAGGACCGCCCGTACGATTACAAGGCTGATATCTGGTCACTGGGCATCACGATGATTGAGATGGCACAGATGGAACCACCCCACCACGAGCTCAATCCCATGCGAGTTCTGCTGAAAATCGCTAAAGCTGAGCCTCCCAGCTTGGCCCAGCCATCCAGGTGGTGAGTTAGTCTGGTCTGTATCCCCTCTCGCTCACACTGCCAGGTTCCCCACACAGCCAGAGGTGTGGGCCAGCTCTACAGGACCTGCAGCTAGTTCAGAGCAAGATATTGGTGATATTTCCCTGACCAGCCAGGAAAGCCATGTTGGGAATGGAGGGGACAGTGGGCGGGTGTGAGTTGCAGCCGGGCTGGTGGCTGTGTGTTTCTCTGTGTAGAATGAGGTTCAGTAAACTCCCTGCGACCGGGGGGGAGGGGGGGGGCGGGGAGAGAAGGGGAAATGTGTTAGAGGCCGCTACGAATAGAAGGCACAGTGTTGGGGTGCGTGGAGGGGCCCGTGTGCGAAATGAGGGGCGGGTGTCCGTGGAGTGTGAGGGCTGTGCAGCGGGGGACGGGTGTACGCGGGGGGTAGGGGTATGGCGACAGGTGTGCACAGGGTGGGGGGACAGGCATGCAAGGAGAGGGGAACGGGCGTGCACGCGTGGAGAGTGGGGGCCGGGGGCGCAGAGTGGGGGGTGCGGATGCATGTGGAGAGGGGGATGCGGGCACCCGCTGAGTGGGGAGCCGCACAGAGAGGTTGGGGGGCGCGCTGAGGGTGGAGGCAGATCGCAGAGGGAGCTGATGATGTTCTCACTTGCTGCAGGTCTCACGAGTTCAGTGATTTCCTGAGGAAGTCACTGGAGAAGAACACGGAGGTGAGATGGAGTGCTCAGCAACTACTGCAGGTGGGCACAGCGGGGGGTGGGGTGGGCAGAGGGGAGCTCCCGCCAGCTTTGTGATCTTTAGTTCCTGGCTCTCGCTGCTCCTGCTTTGCTGTCAGACTTTGCTTACTGTTTGTCACAGAGGCCACCTCCTGCTCTCCCGTCTGTGTTCTGCTGTTGTTTGTGACTTTGCTATAGTTTTGCTGTGATGGTCTGTGAGCTAGTGGCTGGCAGTCGCTCCTGGGAAATGAGGGATGGTATTTACTTTCTGGCACAAAAGGAAAAAAGCCTTCTGATCCCCATCGGTTAGTGAGGAGTTTACCAGCTGTTATACAGTGTTACTGTGCGCTGAGCCTCTCTCGGGGCCCCCTTGTGCCTGGACTCTATGAAACGTGAAGTTTAAACCGAGTTCTCTGTTTCCCTATGAAAAGTGTACAGCCTCTCCGCCCCCATTACTGCTTTAAATAACCAGTTCTTAGTTTTTACTGGTTCTTGATAATCCCTGATCTTCACACATCACCCGAGCTGGTGTGTGAGGCACTGACTTGCTGATCAGCAGATCTGCTGATGCCCAACTCACAAGCACTTGGCTGTGCTCAGCACTATTTTAGTTCAAAGAAACTCTGAATGTCCAGCAATACCACATTCCACATTGTGTAGTCAGTTGCCTGCCCTGATGCTGTGGTTCTGTCTGTCCCTGTGATGAGGAGAGAGTCTGGTGCAGAGACTAATGGCAGTCCTGCACCCAGTGACCCCATAACTGTGCCGATTCTCTGCCTATTTTCACACTGACCCTGGATCGTGTTTAACTATGCCAGACAAGCCTCGCCCCGATGCTGGCCGACAAACCCCCAGTTACAATCCTTTATTTGTTTAATGGCTGTTTGTACCATGTACACAAATTGGCTGACACCTTCCCCAACAAAACAGTCACTACACTTTACAGTAAATCCTGTGAAGCGTTTTGAAACACCCTCCAGAAGTGAGGTGTTGTATCAAACGCAAGGTTTCTTTTGATTTTATCCTTTCATGTCTTTTATAATAATAATAATCTTTGAATTTGATATTGGGCCTAATCACATCTTCGAGACGTTTCAAAGCGCTTCATTGATCAGTGCAGACACCAAACCATCAGTGGCCCTTCAGCTAGTTTAGCTGGTGAAGCAGTATTTACTGGACAGGAGTGTGTGTAGCGGGGAGGGGGGTGGAGGGGAGAATCTTCAGCTTCTGGACATTAAATTAGTGTAAAAGTGAAGTGTTCCTTTAGCACCGCTTCAGCACAGACCGTAAGCCCAGACCCACTGAGTCCCTGTCTGGGGCAGTCTGAGCCCTTGATTGTGTGAAGCAGCTGCTGTCTATATCGGAGCCGTTTGCTGATAGAATGCAGAGCTTGTCACAGTTTCTAAATCCACAAGAAACAGCTGAAGGTGGAGGGAAAGTAGCTGAACAGGGAGAAGTCTCCTCTCCTCCCTGTTACACAGCAACTCAAGGCAACTCCAGCCATGTAGCACTGTGCTGTTTTGCTGTAGCCTCCTATCCACCTGTGAGTATGGGTTCGAACCTGTGTTTGATTATGATTGGTTGTCATTCGTTTGGGATTGGAGTCAGGTCTGTGCTGAGGTGAGTCTCAATCCTCTACTGTAATCTCCACATGTGTCGCTGCAGTCTGAGCTTGTGTAATGTGTGACGTGCTGGGACCTGGGCTGCACAGAGCAGCACCTTTCTGTACAGCAAACCTGGCCGGTCTCAGTGTGTGCTTGGAGTAGCTCACGACTGGAGTTTGTTTTAATAATAATAATTATAATAAACTGGTCACTCAATCCACGACTGTTTGTGGGATGCTGTTGTGTGCAATTGGCTGCCGTGTTTCGCCCACAAAATATACACTTTACAGTATATTCTGTGAAGCGCTTTGAGACGGCTCAAATGCAAGGATTATTATTATTAATAGCACAGCACCAGCAGAGAGGCTGCTGTAAAGGCTTGTGCATAAACTCTGCGCTCTCTCCACAGCATCCGTTTGTGGTGAACGTGACTGGCAGCAAGCCAGTGAGGGAGCTGATCGCAGAAGCCAAGGCGGAGGTCACGGAGGAGATTGAGGAGAGTAAAGAATATGAAGAGGAGGAGGAGGCCGAAACTCCAGGAGTGAGTATAGGCAGCAGCATCATCGCATCCGACAGCCACAGACAGATCCTCGCAAACTGGAGTCCTGTAGCTCAGTGGTTAGAGCATTCACCTTGCAAGTGAGCAGAACTGGGTTCGATTCCCAGGCAGGGAGAAATGTTGGACACGTTTCCTTACTCGACACGCCTCTGTTTAGCAGCAGTGAGTAGGAACCCAGTTGTTAGTCGATTGGCGGATCGCTTTTCTGGGGGTAATAATCACTTTTAAAAAAAGAAAAAAAATAATAATTTGGTCACTCAATCCACGACTCTTTGTGGGACGCTGTTGTGTGCAATTGGCTGCCTTGTTTCACCCACAAAATAAACAGTTAATTCACTTTACAGTATATTCTGTGAAGCGCTTTGAGACGTCTCGAAGACTTAATAAGGCGCTGTATCAAATGAAAGGATCATTATTAGTATTATTGTGAACTCTGGGCTTAATGAATCTGGTAGCCCTCCACAGTGCTCTCTTAAAGAGTCTGAACCAGTCAGAGACCTGTTTGTGTTTCATGGGCACAAATAGACTTAATAACATTTTGAACTGCAGAGATCTCAGTGGTGACTGTTGCTTCTTGTTGTCTGCAGTCTGCGCCAGGACACAAGCGAGCGCTGTCAGACATCAGCACAGCCAGTTCTGAGGATGAGAAACTCTCTCAGTCGCCTTCTATCCTCGAGTCGGTGACAGAGAAAAAGGAGCCGCGAAACCCTGAGGAGAGCACGGACAAGGCCAGCGACTCGCTGTCTGACGAGGGGATCGGTGCCAGCGAAAGTGACCGGATGACAGAAAACAATGTTTCCGACACCAGCAATGAGGATCTGCCGTCTGCCACCAGCAAAACCACTGAACCAGCCCAGCCCCCGGCCGAGAGCAGCCCTGAGCTGCCCACGACACAGGAGCAGGGCACTGGGGCTCGAGAGCAAAGAGTGAAGGTGTTAGCGATAGGGAAAAGAAACGAGAATGGGGTGGAGAATCAGTCGGCAGTAGGAGAGGTGATGGGAGCAGAGGTGAGGGGAGGGGGTGAAGGGACAGGAGCTCTGTCTGTGGAAGCAACAGGAAGGGCTGCAGGAGGGAAGGAGCAAGGAATACAATCCGTCACCGAAGAGATCCACACAGCAGCTGCAGCAGCAGAGCCGAGCACAGAGGAGAGCAAACAGGAAGCCCCCATCTCAGCCCAAAACCTTCCAGCAATTCTCCAGACAGAACCGTGTGAACGAGAGGATCAGCCAGGCACCCAGGGAGAGACCTACACTGAGCAGCGGCAGATGGGAGACAAGTCAAAGTCTGCAGATGAGAGCGCTGTTAAACCCGAGACCCTCACAAAGGCTGTAGGTGGGGCAGAGGGTCCCAGTGAGAAACAGATTGGGGCAGCGGGTCCCAGTGAGACAGAGATTGGGGCAGTGGGTCCCAATGAGACAGAGATTGGGGTAGAGGGTCCTGTAGAGACAAAGATTGGTGTAGAGGGTCCTGTAGGGACAGAGATTGGGGTAGAGGGTCCTGTAGGGACAGAGATTGGGGTAGAGGGTCCTGTAGGGACAGAGATTGGGGTAGAGGGTCCTGTAGGGACAGAGATTGGGGTAGAGGGTCCTGTAGGGACAGAGATTGGGGTAGAAGGTCCTGTAGGGACAGAGATTGGGGTAGAGGGTCCTGTAGGGACAGAGATTGGGGCGAAGGTTCCCACAGAGGATGGGAGTCAGCCAGAGGGTGTCAATATGAGTAAGTCTGGGCCCGAGGCTCCTACGAAGGTTGAGAGTAGGCTAGAGGGTGCTGGTGTGAGTGAGATCCAGCCTGAGGGGAGTGAGAGCCAGTCTGAGGGTCAGGCTGAAGGTGTAATAACAAACAAACTATTAAATGAGAGGAATGGCGAAGTCTGTAGTGAAACCCATGTTAAAGAGGAATGCATGAGCCAAGGGGAAACCAAGCCACAAAAGGTTGCTGAGGTGTGTGTGCCTGTGGGGCCACGGGAGGTGACAGGGAAAGGGGAGATCAGGGATCAGAGCGGTGGCAAGCTCGGCAAAGAGAAGGAGCGGGACACAGACTCAGGAAGTGGGTCGATGGCCGAGAACAGCATCGATCTCAACCTGTCCATATCCAGCTCACTGACCCGCAACAAGGAGACAGGATCCATATCTCTGCAGGTGAGGACATGGTGAGGGGCTAACCACAGCAGGTGAGGACATGGTGAGGGGCTAACCACAGCAGGTGAGGACATGGTGAGGGGCTAACCATAGCAGGTGAGGCACTACAGGCTGGCTCTGAGAGGAATTCTCACATCTGGGACAATAGGTGGTGGGTTTGAACCTAGAATCAAGATTGAAGCTCACAGTCTAAGTTGATGCTCAGTGCAATACTTGGGGAGCTTAGTAAGGACTGAACCTGCAGTAGCTGTCCTTTGCAAGCAGCAGCCTCGATCACAGTTGGGTTGAGAATATGCTGAAGCCACATGGATTTGGGCCTCAGTGTCTCTGACCCACTCTTTGGAACTCCATCCCAAGTCCCTTATACTTGCTCACTCCCTTGCCTCCTTCAAGGCACATCTCAAGACCCTGCTCTTCAACCATGCCTTCAGTCATCCTGCTACCCCTTCCCTTCCTGCCCTCTACCCTCCTGATCCCAACCCCAATCTCAGGTCCAAATACTTGACTGTCTAGCACCTTGGTACGTCCTCCCAATGTGAAAGGCCCTGTGTAACTGTCATTTGTTGTTTGTCTGCCTTGGAATGCTCTGACACTGTCTGCACTTGTAAGCATTGACGTGCCATTCACAGTGGGTTTGTTGAGAGGTCGATGCCCTGTGGTATCTCAGAGGCCTGGACTCGGTCCCAGTTAGCCTCTTTCACACCCATGTCTCTGAGCCTCTGGGTTCACAGCCATTCAGTAGAGTTTGCAGTGACACAGGGTGATGGAGGAGCAGCCTCCTGTGTGACAGGGCTCAATCAAGCAGAAGCCACTCAGCTTGCTAATAACTCACTGGCTTGTTGAAGGGGTGAGCCAGGGTGGGTGAGCATCAGTTGGGTCTGACTAGGGGGTGGGTGGTAGAAGGAAGTCTGGTTCCATGGAAAGTGGCCTCGCTCTGGACTGTCTTGGTGTCAGATCTAAGCTTACAGTACAGACTGACACTACACTGCATTGTGGAGGTGTCGTCCTTCATATGAGACATTAAACCACCTGCCTGTTCAGGTGGACGTTAAAGATCCTCTGATACTCTTCAAAAAGCAAAGGGAGTTTCTCCTGGTGATCTCGTCAGACTACCTGCTCGACTGATTGTGGTACCTTAAAGTGGATAAATTGGCTATTGCGTTTGCCTACAAATACACAGTCACTAACTGTAGAGTAATAGTTTGAAGGTATTTGAGCTAAATGAAGTGGAAAGATTGTTGTTGAGGCTCTTTCACCAGCCCCTCCCTCTCCTCTCTGGCAGGAAATCCGGCAGCAGAAAAAGACCTTGAAGAAGACGCGTAAGTTCCTGGTGGACGGTGTTGAGGTGCGAGTCACCACATCCAGAATCCTCTCGGAGAACGACAGGAACAATGAGGAGATGAGGTACCTGAGGTAAGAGACCCATCACCAGCACCATCATCGCTGCTTGTCAATCCCTCCCTCTCCAGCCATCAGCAACTCCACAACAGCCTGTCTCACTGTGCGTGTGTGGGAGGGGTGACAGGGTGTGTGTGGGAGGGGTGACAGGGTGTGTGTGTGTGGGGGAGGGGTGACAGGGTGTGTGTGTGAGGGGGGTGACAGGGTGTGTGTGGGAGGGGTGACAGGGTGTGTGTGTGGGAGGGGTGACAGGGTGTGTGTGGGAGGGGTGACAGGGTGTGTGTGGGAGGGGTGACAGGGTGTGTGTGGGAGGGGTGACAGGGTGTGTGTGTGTGGGAGGGGTGACAGGGTGTGTGTGTGTGGGAGGGGTGACGGGGTGTGTGGGAGGGGTGACAGGGTGTGTGGGAGGGGTGACGGGTGTGTGTGTGTGGGAGGGGTGACAGGGTGTGTGTGAGGGGGTGAAGGGGTGATGGGGGGTGACAGGGTGTGTGTGAGGGGGGGGTGACTGGGGGTTGTGTGAGGGGGGTGACGGGGGTGTGTGTGTGACGGGGGGTGTGTGTGTGACGGGGGGTGTGTGTGTGACGGGGTGTGTGTGTGACGGGGGGTGTGTGACGGGGGGTGACGGGGGGGGTGACGGGGGGTGTGTGTGAGGGGGGGTGATGGGTGTGTGAGGGGGGTGACTGGGTGTGTGTGTGACGGGGGGTGTGTGAGGGGGGGTGACGGGGGGTGTGTGTGAGGGGGAGTGACGGGGTGTGTTTGTCCATCCAGGCGGCAGGAGCTGCGGGAGCTGAGGCTGTTACAGAAGGAGGAGCAGCGAACACAGCAGCAGCTCAGCCACAAACTGCAGCAACAGCGAGAGCACAACTACCGGCGCTTCGAGCAGGAGATGGCGGTGAGTGTCCACCATCCCCCGGGCCCTAGCCCTACCCTCCAGCCCCCACACCAGCCCCCAACCCCACCTCCAGCCCCCACACCAGCCCTTAGTCCCACCTCCACCCCAAGCCCCCACCCTTACCCCCAGCCCTCAGCCCAACCCCAACCCCCTGGGCTGGGAAATGCTGGGGCTTTGCTGAGGAGTGTCCCTGTCACACAGTGAGTGCTGAGCAGTTTTCTGTTATAGAGTAAGAAGCGTCAGTATGACCAGGAAATTGAGAACCTGGAGCGGCAGCAGAAACAGACGATCGAGCGGCTGGAGCAGGAGCACACCACGCGACTGAGAGACGAGGCCAAGCGCATTAAGGGCGACCAGGAGAGGGAGCTGGGCAAGTTCCAGAGCATGCTGAGAAACCGCAAGAAAGAGGTACGGGCTGGGCCGGGCAGCTCCCAGGACTCAGCGTGGCCTCCCCTCCCCATTGGGACCCCGAGTGGGGCAGAAACTACATCACAAACGGTAGCTAAGCTGCCACGTCGCTCTGCCAATCGGTGCCCTCACCGGGGGCTGCCCTCACCGGGGGCTGCCCTCACCGGAGGGCTGACTGCAATGGTTGGCTTGTTTAGCCCAATGTGATCTGTGTCCTGCCCGGCTCCTGAGGGCAGGGGTGTGTGTGTGACTATCAGTTCCAATAGACTTAAGTGGCCAAACCATTAGTTCACTGTTGAAAGAGGAACTGGAAGTTACTGTTAAACTGAGCTCAGCTCCTATCAGTCATTATCACTGCAGTGTTGCCGTATACTGTCGAGCTCTGTGTGGTGTTTGCTCATATTACTAATCTTATACCGGACTCGTTCTCTACTTTGCATTTACTTTTCTTACTAGTGGGTAATCTTCATGTCTAGGTTACACTCACTCACTCAGCTAGTTAATAATAATAATAATAATAATAGGTACCCTTTAAACCAGGGTCAGGGTCACCTAGAGGAAGCCGTTCAGCATCCATCTCTCAGTCACGGACATTGTCACACATTTCTGAGTCTCTACCTTTTTCCTTTCAACTGAGTCTGCTTGTATTTTACTGCGATTCCATTCAGTGGACAGCAGATACACACAGGCTGTGTGTGTGGTGTATGTGTGTGGTGTATGCGTGTGTGTATGTGGTGTATATGTGTTTGTGTGTGTGTACCACACTGGGTGGCTGGGAGATAGACACTGTGTGGGTGTGTATTTGTGTGGTGTGTGTATGTACGCCACACTGAGTGGTTGGGACACTATGTGTGGGGTGGGAGAGGCCTGCCACCAGCAGGGTGGGGTGGGAGAGGCCTGCCACCAGCAGGGTGGGGTGGGAGAGGCCTGCCACCAGCAGGGTGGGGTGGGAGAGGCCTGCCACCAGCAGGGTGGGGTGGGAGAGGCCTGCCACCAGCAGGGTGGGGTGGGAGAGGCCTGCCACCAGCAGGGTGGGGTGGGAGAGGCCTGCCACCAGCAGGGTGGGAGAGGCCTGCCACCAGCAGGGTGGGGTGGGAGAGGCCTGCCACCAGCAGGGTGGGGTGGGAGAGGTCAGTCACCAGCAGGGTGGGGTGGGTGGGGCCAGTCACCAGCAGGGTGGGGTGGGAGGGGCCTGCCACCAGCGGGGTGGGGAGGGGCCAGCCACCAGCGGGGTGGGGTGGGAGGGGCCAGCCACCAGCAGGGTGGGGTGGGAGGGGCCAGTCACCAGCGGGGTGGGGTGGGTGGGGCCAGTCACCAGCGGGGTGGGGTGGGTGGGGCCAGTCACCAGCGGGGTGGGGTGGGAGGGGCCAGTCACCAGCGGGGTGGGGTGGGCGGGGCCAGTCACCAGCGGGGGTGGGGTTGGGAGAGATCTCCAGGTATATGAGCATTCTAGGTTGAGGGTAGTGGAGTGAGTCCTGGAGGCCATTCTTTAGATGAGCCATTAATGGTGGCAGCTGAGCCTTTGGTGCCATTCCCAGGGTGTCCCTGGGTTTGATTCCTGGGCGGGACAGGACTGGGCGAAATGTTGGGCAAGTTTCCTTATTCCACAGGCCTCTGTTTACCAGCAGTAAGTGGGAACCCACTTGGTAGTCAATTGTTGGATCGCTTTTCCGGGGGTAATAAATCATTTTTAAAAACAAAATAATAATAATTTGCTCACTCAATCCACGACTGTTTGTGGGACGCTGCTGAACGCAATTGGCTGCTGTGTTTCACCCATAAAATATACAATTAAGTCACTTTACAGTATATCCTGTGAAGCGCTTTGAGACGTCTTGAAGAGGTGATAAGACGCTATATAAAATGCAAGGATTATTATTCTTACTGTATGCATTGTTGTGTTTTAGTTGCCAATGTGTAGTGGAATTCTGTGCATGTTTGCTCTCTGGTGATTCCTGGATTGTGGCTTGCTGTGTGTACTCTTGTTCTCTGACGTGGTGTGGTGTGGTGGTGTGGTCTCTCCTTAGCGCATATTCCTGCTCCTCAAGTAAGCCGTCACGCAGTGTGAAGCCTGTGCATTTACTCAGTGGAAACAATCCGTGCAGAAATGCAGAGACGGGAGTAAGTTTGGGATTGCAGTGGGAGCTGTGCCAGTGTCTATCACTAATGCTGTGCCCAGGAGCTGGTCAGGGCACAGCTGGCACTGGGTGAGGTTTAGGAGGGCAGGCGTTGGAGACTGGAAGCTTGTACACAATGGGCGAACGTGTTTGGTGGCCAGTTGCCTGCGTATAGTAAAGCTAACACTAACCTTACCCCACTGCAGGACCTTCAGCTACAGCAGGTCTCAGTATCTGAGCCTCCGGGCAGCGCTGGTCTGACTGGTGTGTCAGGGAGATGATCTGGCCCTGCTCTGGCAGCTAGAGGTGTTGCAGGGCATTAGCACCTTCTTAACCCTTATTTATCTCTTACTCATCTTCAAATACATCTTTTTAACATGTGATTTCTGAACCCTACTTAAAGTGCTATCTGGGTTTGAGTAAAAACAGGTGTGAAAGTGACCTGCTTTGTCTACATTTCTCAAAGCTCCCCAGACGTACTCACCTGGTAGTGCATCAGAAAGCACATCTTAAAGTACCCAGAACATCAACCTCTTCGCAATCCAACCTTTTCCACTCGCTCCTCAGCCTGTGTTGTGGGCTGGGGTCTGCTGTGCTGCTGCTAACCACTTGCTGGGGTAACCTTGCCTGAGCTGTGAGCTTTGTTGCTAACTCTTTCCTGTGTAAAGGAATGTTCTCCCCACAACACCCTCTGCATGATTGTAGGTTAAATCTGAAGTGGAGAAACTCCCCAGAGAGCAACGAAAAGAGCAAATGAAGCGAGTCCGAGAGGAGTTTGCACAGGCGTTGCATGTCCAGGTAACCAGCAGTCTCCACCCAGCGCTCAGCTTCACCCACCCTGGCCTGGCACCACACACACCCACCCATCCGCTGGCCTGGCCAGGTCACCCACAGCGAATAGCAGTCCTCATCACTGTCAGGCTGACAGAGCCCAGCGGCCTGTCACTGGATCATGGTTTATCAATCCCTGCCCTGCCCAGGTAGCATGTGCTTTATGTCCCAAACAAGAGGAGCCAGGACTCAGCTGGTGACGGAGATGGTGATTGGAGTGTCTCCACTTTGCTTTCATCCATCCAGTAGATATATTTACAGCACAATGTGGTTTACTGGGGATTACTGTCCAGGCGAGGGGCTGAGAGCTAGGGTGTCCACACTGATCACTCCTCCTGGACCAGAAAAAATAATAATCCTTATATTTGGTTTGTTGCCTTATCACGTTAGAAGGACGTCTCAAAGCACTTCACAAGATTTCCTGTAAAATGCAGTACAATTGCATACACCAAACTGCCACAAAATACAGTCACTCCACTTCACAGTATATCCTGTGAAGCACTTTAAGACATCTCAACAACGTGATAAGTCGTTATATCAAATGCAAAGATTATTATTATTAAACAAGTGAATGACCAATTTTATTTGGAGGATTGTTGGCCAGGACACCAGGAGAGAGAAACTCCAGTCTCTTTTCGAATAGTGCCGTGGGATCTTTAACATCCACCTGAACAGGCAGACAGGACCTCAGTTTAACATCTCATCTGAAGGACATAATGTGAGATGGAGTTGGAGTGTGGTTGTGGGGGTGGAATTAGCTCGGGAAGGAAAGCTGGGAAGCTCCCAGAGTTTTGCTGTGTTTGTAATGTCAATATCTTATTTTCTCCATCATCTGTCACTGGATAAACGTGCCCTGACCTGCACTGAGGCCACGATACTCTGCCCTCTGTTCCGTGTCTCCTGTCATGGCTGCTGTGTGTTGCTATGCCAGTCTCTCTCTCTCACTCCCTGCATGAAACTGTTCCTGCATGTTACTGTTTCTGTGTCAGGAAGTGCAGATGTATAACACTGTGCAGTGACTGATTGTGGTGTAAGTGTGTATGCAGCTGCCCTGGGCTTGAGCTCACGTGGGAGCTGGTTGTATTCTGATCCACAGGGAGTCGCCCAGGTCATGATACAGTCTTTTCAGTTGTCCTCGTGTACATTGTTCAACGCTCAGCTGCAGGATGTAAGTGCTTATCTATCTGTGTGAGAACTGTTTGTGGTGCCGGCAGCTTATCTTTCACAGTCCAGAAAAACATTTCCAGAGAGAAAGCCTTCAGCTTCTGTACTCCATCCATGGTTGGGATTGGAACATCGGAACAGGAGGAGGTCATTCAGCCCCTTGAGCCTGTTTCGCCATTCTATTAGGTCATGGCTCCAGCTTTGCCCCCATATCCCTTGGTACCCTGACCTAACAAATATTTATCCAGCTCAGTCTTGTAAATGTGAGTGGATCAGCATCCTCAGCCTTTTGGGGGAGGGAGAGAGTTCTAGATTTCCACTCCCCTTTGTGTTAGTGAGACAGTTTATAAATCAGTGGCCATCCCTGCTCTGCTGCTCAGGCTCTGCCACTTGCTGACTGTGAGCTGTGATCTGCTATGAGACTGTTTTGTTAGTGGAGTCCTGGCGTATAAAGGACCTGGGTTTGACTCCCAGCAGAGAAAAAGGTTAGGCAAGTTTCCTTACTCCACGCCTCTGTTTACCTAGCAGTAAGTAGGAACCCAGTTGTTAGTCGATTGACTGATCACTTTACTGGGGTTAATAATCCTTTTAAAAAAAATAGTAATTTGGTCACTCAATGCGCAATTGTTTGTGGAGACCTGCTGTGCGCACTTGGCTGCCTCTTTTCGCCCACAAAATACAGTCACTACACTTGACAGTATATTCTGTGAAGCGCTTTGAGATGTCTCAAAGACGTGATAAGGCGCTGTATCAAATGCCAGGAATATTATATTATTAATCCTGTCACAATGGGCTGGTAGTTAGCTGTCCAGAGAAGCACCTGACCAAGACCAGCCTTGTTAGTTAATTAGCTCCACCACTGCCAAGCGCTCTGGGACACTTCCCTGCATGATGGACACTCTATTAATGCAAGTTGTTGTTGTTGTGGATAGCCAGGCTGCTGTCTGCTTGGCGTAGCTTGTGTCTGGGCTCTGATATCCCCAGTGATTCCTCACTAGGAGCAGGAGTTCCTGCAGAAACAGCAGCAGGAGCTGGACGGAGCCCTGAAGAAAATTATCCAGCAGCACAAGCTGGAACTTGCCACCATCGAACGCGAGTGTTTGAACAGCAAGCAACAGCTACAGCGAGGTGAGGCCACAGAACGTGGGGATGTTTATAAATCAGTAGAATGTGGAGCACTGTAGCTCAGTTGTTAGAGCAGTCGCCTTGTAAGCGAGAGGACCTGGGTTCGATTCCCGGGCAGGGTGAAATGTTGGGCAAGTTTCCTTACTCCACACGCCTCAGTTTACCTAGCAGTAGGAACCCAGTTGTTAGTCGATTGGAGGATCACTTTTCCAGGGGTATTAATCCCTTCCAAAAAAAATGTAATAATAGTTTGATCACTCAATCCACGACTGTTTGTGGGACGCTGCTGTGTGCAAATGGCTGCCGCGTTTCGCCCATAAAATATACAGTCAAGTCACATTACAGTGTATTCTGTGAAGCGCTTTGAGACGTCTCGAAGATGTGATAATGGCTGTGTCAATGCCAGGATTATTATTATTATTATTATTATTTTCGCAGCCAGAGAAGCTGCTATCTGGGAGCTGGAAGAGCGCCACCTGCAGGAGAAACACCAGCTACTGAAGCAGCAGCTGAAAGACCAGTATTTCATGCAGAGACACCAGCTGCTGAAGAGACACGAGAAGGTGGGCCACAATCTGTCCTTCACTTCTCACCTCCGCCCCTACCTTCTGGAATTCCATCCCACAGTCTCTTTGACTCGCTCTCTCCGTTGCCTCCTTCAAGGCACATCTCAAGATCCTCTGACTGCGCCTTCGGCCACTCTCCTAACCAAACCTCCCCCCGCCCGCCCTTCATCCCTCCTGATCCCAACCCTTTGCTCGGGTCCAAATGCCTGACTGTCCAGCACCTTGGGACGTCCTCCCGACATGAAAGGCAGGCGCTGTGTAAATGCAATGTGTTGTTTGCTACATGCCTGCCTGCCTACACTCTGCTGTAGTTTGGGTGACTGATGACTGATGTGAGTAATTTGTGTAACACCAGGAAATGGAGCAGATGCAGAGATATAACCAGCGTCTGATCGAGGACCTGAAGAGCCGGCAGACACAGGAGCGAGGCCGCTTACCCAAGATCCAGCGTGGAGAGGCCAAGACGCGCATGGCCATGTTCAAGAAGAGTCTGCGGATTGGCTCCTCAGGCTCCCCAGAACAGGACCGAGAGAAGATCAAACAGGTGTGGCTCGGCTCTGCACACACAATGGTCACGGAGCACACGTTCCGACATTCAGTGCTCCCAGCGATTTTCTGTTTGTGTTCCAGCTCTGTTGCGTGAGCAAGCGCTCCAAGATGCTGCCCCACATGAAGGACGCTAAATATATATATATAATATATTTATTTATATAAACGCAAGTGGTGGTTGTTGTTTGTTGTCTGTCAGTTTGCTGCTCAGGAGGAGAAGAGGCAGAAAAACGAGCGAATGCAGCAGCACCAGAAACACGAGAACCAGATGCGGGATCTGCAGTTACAGTGCGACGCTAACATTAGGGAACTCCAGCAGCTACAGGTGAGACTATGACCCTGACCACACCTCCTGTACAGGATATTGTGTGCTGGGGGGGTTTCATGTGTCCTGGGGGGGCACGATTGCGTGTGCTGGGGGAGGGGCAACGTGTGCTGGAAGTGATGCTTTCCTGCTGTTACAGAATGAAAAGTGCCACCTGTTAATTGAACATGAGACACACAAGCTGAAGGAGGTGGACGAGGAGCACAGCCAGGAGCTGAAGGAGTGGCGGGAGAAGCTGCGACCCAGGAAGAAGGTACAGAGTCAATGTAACAGCAGTATCCTCAGGGCCAGTGTGAGACAACAACAACTGCACATGAGCAGCCCAGCTCCCGCACTGCTGAGCAACCTCTTCAATAATTTGAATGCACATCATTGCAGTTCAATGGTGTGAAGCTTACATGGGTATCTACATGAGTTATATACATCTATATCTACATGGAGTCCCGTAGCTCAGTGGTTAGAGCACTAGCGAGAGGACCCGTATTTGATTCCCAGACAGGGCGAAACGTTAGGCAAGTTTCCTTACTCCACACACACGCCTCTGTTTACCGGCAGTCAGTAGAAACCCGGTTGTTAGTCGATTGGTGGCGGTTTGCTTTCCAGGAAAATTATTAATAATTTAGTCACTCAATCCATGACTGTTTGTTTGTGGGATACTACTGTGCGCAATTGGCTGTTTGTCAATTCACTTGACGCTATATTCTGTGAAAGACTTTGAGCCGTCTCGACGACGTGATGAGGCTCTGTATGAAATGCAGGTATTATTATTGTGTGCGCGGAGTGGGGCGATCGGACTGAAGCTGACACGTTACACGTTACTCATGTTGTGTTTGTTGCTGTTCCAGATTTTAGAGGAGGAATTTGCTCGCAAGCTGCAGGAACAAGAAGTATTTTTTAAGATGAGTGGCGAATCCGAGTGCCTTAACCCCTCAGCACAGAGCCGCATTTCCAAGTTCTACCCGGTCCCCAGCCTGCACTCCACGGGATCCTAACCACATGATTCGGGAAGTTTCTGCGGCTCTCGCACTAGTGCTAATTGTGTAACTGGGTCACAGACTCTCCGCTGATGCTCCAGCTTTCCAATCCATCACCTTGCTCTTCTGACGGCCGAGGTGGCAGAATCCCGTCAGTGTGTGGGGCAAAGGCTGGAGCAGCTGTTAGCATCCCTGTAATACTGTCTCTGTTACCTTCCCTTCACCTCTCCCCTGGGCTCCTCAGCTGCAGGGTGAGGTCTCGCTGCTTCTGGTCTTAGCCACTGGAAGCACAAAGCACGAGGTCAGAGAACCTTATTTCCTCTTCCCCTCCCCACCCACACCCCAGCCCCCTAACGGCCTCTGAGAAGCCCCTCACAGTGAGGGTAGAGAATGGTGGCGTGCCTGAGGGGTGGACCACGTAAAACCAACCAATGTCCAGGCCGTTAGACAGCATTGTGACTGATCCAACAGTGAAATGAAAATTAAATATAACTAATTCTGCACAATAACAATCTCACAAACACCACAATTAATATCTAATTCCCTGCAGAAGCGTCAACACAATCTGTCTCCCTGTGCAGCCCATATGACCCCCGCCCTCTACACACTGACTGCTCCTCGCCAGGAGCCCAGGCTTTACCAGGAGCTGCTGTCAGTCAGAGACACTGCAGCTCTGGGGAAGGTCTCAGCTTCGCCAGTCACTCTGACTGACTTCCGCTTGTGTTTGTTATTTGCTTTGCAGTGTACATGGCAATGACATCCACACTCACTGACACGTAGCAACAGAGAAGGGCAGGGGAGGAAGGGGCGTTATCAACAGGGAAAGCAAGCTCCCCCCTCCACCCCCCCCAGCTGCAGGCTGATACTCTGACCGTCCTTCTCACTGTTGAGCGTGTGTGTGACGTGGGGACTCACTGTGACCTGTGTGTAACTTCCTAATGAAAGTGACGCTAAGTACTTCCAGACACACGCAGACAATCTTCTATATTCATCACAACAACAAGGGAGGGCCCTCCCCTGAGACTTGTGGGCACTCTGCGTTGGGGGGGGGGGGGGGGGGTGCTACAGACACAGTGAATGGGGGCACTCTGTGTTGGGGTGGGGGGGTGCTATAGACACTGAATGGGGGCGCTCTGTTTCTTAAACACTAAGTTTGGTTTCTTTGGTTTAGAATTGTTTATTGATGGAGACTGTGTGGAGATTGTGAACTGTACTTTACTACAGTAAGAAGAAAGGTTAGAGGCTCAGTGGGTGGTGATCGCAGTTTGTCAGTGACTGTAGACGCCCCCCACCCCCTCGGTGTGAAGCCCGATGTCTCTCGCTCAGTGTGAGACCTGATAGCACCAATGGCTTGCACTTGTATGTACACCATTACCTCAGTCCCTTAGCTCACTCAAACCCCACCCCCCCTCAGTCCCACTCCCCCCTCAAATCCCCCCCATCTCTGTCCCTCTGCCCCTTCAAACCCCCCCACCTCAGTCCCGCTGCCCCTGTCTTCACCTGGGACATAAGAGTGAATCTCCTCACTATACCAGGTTCAATCTAGAACCTCCATAGCGCACCAATTGAATTGAGAATCCACACGCACTGACCAGCCTGAGGCTGGTTGGCACTACACTACTTTCTCAGTCTTGGAATCTGGCAATATATTTTCCATAAACATGTTGGTCTATGTTACCTGTTACCCCATTCACTCTCACTGTGACACCACCCCTCCCCATTCACACTCACTGTCTGACATCTGGTTGCACTTCAGTCTGGAGAAACATATCACATATAAACTGTTCTTCACCAAACCTCACAGTACCATATCTAGATTATTTTACTTGTTTTTATATGAATTATTTCTGCTTGTGTGGGTGTGACGCTGGGCATTGAGCACTGCTGTTGCTGTGAAGTTTTTGCTGGGGAATAGCTAGAATATCGCAGGCTGAGAGCAGCCTGGCTTTCTCCCCACATGTTAATGCCATCTAGTTTATTTATAATTGCTTGACACTACTCTAACAATAACTTGCATTTATATACATTAAATAACCACCTCAGCGTGCTCTGCCAAGTAAAAGAATAAAATAAATAAATGAAAATGAGAGTGAGCAAACACAGCAACTAAGCTAAACCATGTCAGCAGCGTCTCAAATAACAAATCGTCCACAAAATACAATCAATTCACTTTAGTATATCGTGTGAAGTGATTTGAGACGTCTCGAAGAAGTGATGAGGCACTATCAAATGCAAGGATTATTATAATCAAATGGGAAGCCAATTCATTTAATCTGGTAGTACATGCCGATCAGTGGGGAGTACACATCAGGTTAACGGGAAGAAAAACTCCACATTTCTTTGAAATAGCAACAGAGGGCAGTAGCTTTCTGTCCACCTGAGCCATACGATGGACATGTTAGAGGAGACTGATCATACCACAGCTTGTGCTTTCTCATTTCTTATATCTATCAATTATAGAGCAGATTGGGAGCCCCTGGGGTTACGGCAACGGATGCTTCTGAGTAATAAGCCTTGTAGGTTTTAACATGTCTTTGTGGTTGTGTGGAACTTTGTGAAATGGCGTAGTGCACACTTTTTTATTGTGTGCCCCAGCCAACATGCTTATCTGTTCTGTGTAATGGTCTTCCTCTCATCACAGTATTCTTCAGGTAAATGGACAGAATTGACAACGAAGTAACATCCTATTGCTTGGCCCATGCTGTACAGACTGTCCCTCCGCATCATGCCCTGGCTGATCAGCGGGTTTCATCTAAAAAGCTGAGAGGTTTGATGTTACACATAAAAGATCCGTGGTTAACATTCCACCCACTGATTGAGTGATCACAGCAGCTCCACCGTTAGTGACTGTGCGAGGTTATAATGTGCCAAGGTTGAACTTTGATCCAATGAGGATATGAATATTGAGGAATAGACTGCTATCCACACTGGATAGACTCCTTGTATATCTAAACTATTGTGTAATATACAGTAGATACCAAACCCAGTTCATTGGGATTCTGGTCATTTAACCAAACAAGCTGATGTGAAGTGGCACTGATGTGTACAGCAACACTCGCTCGATGTGTGTATGTGCTCTCTATAAGCATCTCTTCCTACAGACATCAGCACCTCCACTGACTACCGAGAATTGCTTTAGATTGATTAGATTTTCTCCATTCAGGACTAGAATTGTAACCGTGGAGTCACTTGCTTCACTTTGTACTGAATCTAACCATGAGGCTCGAGGACGACCAGGAGAGAAGCACATGTGGAGAAGCACAGATCCAGGATCTGACTTGTAATTGTAGGGAAGCCAGTGTTTATAACACATGATAAGCTTTGCTATTACTTTATATCGTAACTGTTTTCCTATCAAGAACTTTGTTAAACCATGACGAAGACTTATTTATGTAGATCCAATGCTCTACATAGGGTGATTCAGAAGCAGTCGCCACTTTGTGTAGAAATAACTCTGTAAATAAAACGGTTATTATTGCCGATGAAACAATTCTGTGCTGGTTTATTCCTTCCGCACCGAGCTGTAAAATGTGTGCATGTATTATCCTCGCGTCTCCTATTTCACTGCAGATCACAGCAGACAGTAAGGCTGGGGCTTGAGGCAGTGCAAGAGACAGTCCTGGATCTTCAGACCTTCGCTGTGACAAGCAGTGCTCAGCACAGGGACTGAAACAATCTCCGGCCAGGCTGCCTGGAAGCATTAGGACTTTGTGTAGCTCTGGAATCCTGTAGCTCAGTGATTACAGCACTCGCCTCGCTTGACCTGGGTTCGATTCCCGGCAGGGTGAAATGTTGGGCAAGTTTCCTTACTCCACACGCCTCTGTTTACCTAGCAGTAAGTAGGGGCCCAGTTGTTAGTCGATTGGCGGAATGCTTTTCCGGCGGTAATAATTCCTTTAAAAACAAAATAATAAATTAGTCACTTCAATCCACGACTGTGGGCTGTGTGCAATTAGCTGCGCGTTTCACCAACAAAATATAGTTAAATCACTTTACAGTATACTCTGTGAAGTGCTTTGAGACATCTCAATGATGTGATAAGGTGTTATATCAAATGCAAGGTTTATTATTATTATGTGTGTGCGTCACAACAGGGAACAACCCTGGGAGTTGGAATGCAAGTCTGGGTTCACTCCAGGTGCTGAGGATAGAAATTGCACCGTGTTTTATTAGCCTGTAAGACCATGTGCATAACGTTTATGATATTGCAGAATTATTTTCTTAAATTTAAGTTTTAAAAAGGTGCCGCAGGCTAAGATCAGGTGGAATTTCAGGCCATTAATGTGCCCTTTTTAGTGAAGAACACAAATGCCAGCAGCATCCCAATGCAGGTTAAACATGCAGTGTGTAAAATGTGTATCCAAACAGATCTAATTCATCGTTGCAAGCTCCTTGGCAGTGGAGGGGGGTCCTCCGGCCAATTTGCAAAGTGCAGCACCAAGTTACCAGTGTAATAAAGTGGCCAAAGCAGGGAGAAGATTGGCTATTTGCCAAAGCTCTCCACGTGTTGAGCAGTTGGTGCTCAGTAAGCATTGGACTTGGACCTGAACATGGAGTCCAGAACATCAAGGTGGCTGTCACATGGTGTCCTGGCTGGACAAGCAGTGAGAAGCTTGGCAGACTGGGTGGGGGGTCAGTAACCCGAGGACACCGATTTCAAATAGTTGTTAAAAGAAACAGAGGGGAGGAGAAATGTTTTCACACAGCGAGTTGTTGGGAACTGGAATGTATTGCCTGAAAGGCCGGTGGAAGCCGATTCAATAACAACTTTTAAGAGAGAAGCAGATAATTATTTGGGGACAAGCTTTCAGGGCTATGGGGAGAGAGCGGGGGAGTGGGGTTGATCAGTTGATCCTCATCCTCACCTACAAGGCCATTCACGGCCTCGCTCCCTCCTACCTCCGACCTACTATCCCCCTACCTACCCGCCCATACCCTCTGTTCCTCTGGTCTGCTCCACATCCCCCGCCCCAACCGCCCGACCATCGGTGGCCTTCAGCCTCTCAGCCCCGAGGCTCTGGATCTCTATCCCCAGTGCCTTCGCCGCTTCCTCCCTTTCCTCCTTCAAGGCCGGTCTCAAAACCTTTCTCTTTGACCTGTGCCTTCAGCTCCCTCTCGACTCTCTACCCCCTCCTCGTTCCCTCCCTTCCCTCCCCTCACCCTGACCATTTCCCCCCTCCTCGCTCCCTCCCTCCCCTCACCCTGACCATTTCCCCCTCCTCGCTCCCTCCCTTCCCTCACCCTGACCATTTCCCCCCTCCTTCCCTTCCCTCCCCTCACCATTTCCTCGCTCCCTCCCTCCCCTCACCATTTCCCCTTCCTCGCTCCCTCCCTTCCCTCACCCTGACCATTTCCCCCCTCCTCGCTCCTTCCCTTCCCTCACCATTTCCTCGCTCCCTCCCTTCCCTCACCATTTCCCCCCTCCCCTCCCCATTTCCCCCTCCTCGCCCCCTCCCTTCCCTCCCCCTCACCCTGACCATTTCCCCCCAATGCTTGGGTCCTGACCCAACTGTACAGCGCTTTGGGACGTCCTCCCGACGTGAAAGGCGCTCAATAAATGGAATCTTGTTGTTGTTGTTGACCTGTGGGGAGAACGCAGGGGAGTGGGGGTGGGCCACGATGGGCCGAATGGCCTCCTTCTGTGCTGTATAATCCTTTGACTGCATTCTCAATGAGGTGTGGATTTAGTTACTTCAGCCCCAACACCTTAGCTCTGGGGCAGGGGGTGGGGGGGGTTGGGGTGCGGGGGGGGGCAGAGAGCACATTCCATTGTACACACTGGTAATCTCCCTATGGAGGTGCATACACAGACACACACACACACACACAGACACACACACACACACAGACACACACAGACACACACACAGACCCACACACACACAGACACACACACACACAGACACACACAGCACGTGGAGGCTCCTTATAGTGAGGGGTCTCCTTGTGAGTGACAGAGATCAATACTACAAGTTCCAGAATGCACTGCAGGTGGGCGGGACACACTGCGTCACTCAGTCACAGCCAATGACGAGCCGCATCGTTATTCTGTTCAAACCAACCAATCAGAACGGAGCGGCACAACGGTCACCGGCGGCGGTTTGAAAATGTCGCGGATCCCAACGGTGGTCCCCCGGTGAGGCTCAGCCACCCCCTCCCCCCCCCCGCACCCCCTCCCCCCCCCGCACCCCCTCCCCCCCCGCACCCCTCCCCCCGCACCCCCTCCCCCCGCACCCCCTCCCCCCCCCGCACCCCCTCCCCCCGCACCCCCTCCCCCGCACCCCCGCACCCCCTCCCCCCGCAACCCCTCCCCACCCCGCACCCCCCCTCCCCCCCCGCACCCCCCCTCCCCCTCCCCCCCCGCTCCCCCTCCCCCGCACCCCTCCCCCCGCACCGCCTCCCCCTCCCCCCCCGCAACCCCTCACCCCCCCGCACCCCCTCCCCCGCACCCCATCTCACCCCCCGCACCCCCTCCCCCGCACCCCATCTCACCCCTCCCCGCACCCTCTCACCCGCACCCCCTCACCCGCACCCCCTCCCCGCACCCCATCTCACCCCCTCCCCCGCACCCTCTCACCCGCACCCCCTCACCCGCACCCCCTCCCCCGCACCCCATCTCACCCCCTCACCCGCACCTCCACACCCACACCCCCTCACCCGCACCCCCTCACCCACACCCCATCTCACCCCCACACCCTCACTCCATCACACCCGCACCCCAACTCAACAGGACCCCCCGCACGCCCTCACTCCCACACCCCCTCCCGCTCCCCCGGACCCTCACACCCGCACCCCCTCACCCACACCCCCTCCCCCACATGCCCTCACCCGCACACCCCCACAACCGTACCCCCTCACCCGCACACCCTCACCACTTCATCACCATATCCTCACCGTCACCCGCTCACCAACAACAAAATGACATTTATAGAGCGCCTTTCACGTTGGGAGGACGTCCCAAAGCGCTGAACAGTCAGGTGTCGGGGCCCGAGCATTGGGGAGAGGTAGGGGTGAGGGAAGGCAGAGAGGTGGGAGGGCGAAGAGAAGGGTCTTGAGACCGGCCTTGAAGGAGGTGAGGGAGGAGGTGAGGCCAAGGGACCGTGGGATGGAGTTCCCGAGTTTGGGGGCAGAGAGGCTGAAAGCCCGGCCACCGATGGTAGGGCGGGTCGGGCGGGAGACATGGAGCACCACCACACCGTCACCCCCTCACCACCACACCCTCACTAACACATCCTCAGCCCCTCACTAACACACCGTCACCCCATCACCACCACACTGTCACCCCCTCACCACCACACTGTCACCCCCTCACCACCACACCCTCACTAACACATCCTCAGCCCCTCACTAACACACTGTCACCCCCTCACCACCACACCCTCACTAACACATCCTCAGCCCCTCACTAACACACCGTCACCCCCTCACCACCACACTGTCACCCCCTCACCACCACACTGTCACCCCATCACCACCACACTGTCACCCCCTCACCACCACACTGTCACCCCCTCACCACCACACCGTCACCACCACACCATCACCCCCTCACCACCACACCATCACCCCCTCACCACCACACCATCACCCCCTCACCACCACACCATCACCCCCTCACCACCACACCATCACCCCTCACCACCACACCATCACCCCCTCACCACCACACCATCACCCCTCACCACCACACCATCACCCCCTCACCACCACACCATCACCCCCTCACCACCACACCATCACCCCCTCACCACCACACCATCACCCCCTCACCACCACACCATCACCCCCTCACCACCACACCATCACCCCCTCACCACCACACCATCACCCCCTCACCACCACACCATCACCCCCTCACCACCACACCATCACCCCCTCACCACCACACCATCACCCCCTCACCACCACACCATCACCCCCTCACCCAGGGCATGAAAGGATTTGTAGAGGAGTGTGAGGATCTTGCAGTCGATGGGTTCTGTGATAGGGAGCTAGTGGAGGCTGGTGAGGACTGGTGTGCTGGGAACAGGGAGTTTAGAACTGGTGAGTAAACGGGCAGCGGCGTTTAGAATGAATAGGATTGTGTTGCTGGGGAGTCCGGTGAGGAGGGTACCGGAATAGGTGAGGTGGGAGGTGACAAAAGAGTTGAGGTTTGTGAAGGGCAATCCTGGGTCAGGTGATTGGGTATCAGGACGATTGTTTGAGGATAGGACAGTACATTGGGTCTCATTTAATAAACAGCTCGAAGCTGTAATTCTGGAATCAGTTGGTATTGTGGAGGTTGAAGGGCCTACTTTCTCTGCGCCTCTCTCATGGTTCTGTGTATAAACCTTCTCTGTGACAGAGACACCATGTGCAGTATCATGATAAGCAACGAGTCTCCGCACACCGAGCCCATCATCTTCAATCCAGACTTCTTTGTGGAAAAGCTGCGACATGAAAAGCCAGAAGTGTTTCTGGAGCTTGTCGTCAGTAACATCACGCGACTGATCGACCTCCCGGGGACCGAGTTTGCACAGCTGATTGGTGAGGAGCAACCCAAGCTCCCCAACAGCTCCAGCTCCAGCTTTTTCCGCTCCTTCCACTTCCTCAGACGGCGAGGTGAGCAATGGGGTGGGTGAGGGTGAGCAGTGTGTGGGGGGGGCGCGGGGGTGAGCAACAACAACAACAAAATTATATTTATAGAGCGCCTTTCACGTCAGGAGGACGTCCCAAAGCACTGGACCCGAATATGGGGGAGGGGTCGGATAAGGGTGAGGGAAGGCAGAGAGGTGGGAGGGCAACCAAAGGCACGATCGAAGAGAAGTAGTGAGTGGGGCTGAGCAGTGAGGGGGGTGAGCAGTGTGTGTGTGGGAGGGCGCAGTTTGTGGGTGGGGGGTGAGTTTGTGGGGGTGCGGTTGGGGTTGCAGTTTGGGGGAGTGCGGTTGGGGGAGCAATTTGTGGGTGGCGGGTGTGTGCGCGGACACTGTTGAATGTTGACGGGATGTGTGTTTCTCAGGGAAAGGCGTGGTGTTTGGAGCACCACTCACAGAGGAGGGGATCGCTCAAATTTACCAGCTCATTGAGTATCTGCATAAGAGTAAGTGAGACAGTAACAGCTCCCCAACACATTGCCACACACCAATACATTAGGAGGCTGGCCTGCTCCATGTCTCCCGCCCGACCCGCCCTACCATCGGTGGCCGTCCTCCCGATGTGAAAGGCGCTCTATAAATGTAATTTTGTTGTTGTTGTTGATTACATTACACGGCGCCTTTCACATCAGGAGGATGTCCCAAGGCACTGGACAGTCAGGGATTTGGACCCGAACTCAGGGTTGGGATCAGGAGGGCAGGGAGGGTAAGGTGTGGCTGAAGGCCCGGTTGATGAGGAGGGTTTTGAGATGGGCCTTGAAGGAGGCGATGGAGGGAGTAAGGTGAAGGGACTGTGGAATGGAGTTTCAAAGGATGGGGGGCAGAGGGGCTGAAGGCCCAACCACCGAGGTCAGGGCAGGGGACGTGGAGCAGGCGGAGCCCACTGAGCAGAGGGAGCGGACAGGTTGATAAGGAGTCAGCCAGTCACAGAGGTAGGAAGGAGCGAGGCAGTGGAGGACTTTGAAAGTGAGGATTTTGAACTCTCATAAACACAAGTCAGTGACATTCACATCACTTGCGCGCACACTACACTCAAACCCACATTGTCACACGTATGCACCATCACACATTTGTTCACATGCACACACTATCACATACTTCCCACTCACACTGCGATCCTCTATGTTCCACATCTACCTTGCATTTCTTACTGAGGCTCCTAGTTCTGTAGTTTTAGAATTGGTTGATTTTATTAATTTATTAAGATATATACTGATTAGGGCAACACCTGTCACAAGCCAGCATCACATCAGCTGCTTCCAACTGCTCCCAACACAGAGTTACCTTCACATTCACCAGCGTAAATATCACTGATACAACAAGTAGGTGAGGGAAGCCCCCAAGAGAGCCAGCAATGAGTTCTCTGTCTGTATCTGTGTGTGTGTCTGTATCTCTCTTTCTGTCTGTCTCTGTATGTCTCTCTCTCTGTCTGTGTATCTCTACATCTCTCTCTGTCTGTCCGTGTGCCTCTGTATCTCTCTCTCTGTCTGTCCGTGTGCCTCTGTATCTCTCTCTGTCTGTGTGTCTCAGTATCTCTCTCTGTCTGTCCGTGTGCCTCTGTATCTCTCTCTGTCTGTCCGTGTGCCTCTCTCTCTGTCTGTGTGTCACTGTATCTCTCTCTCTCTCTGTCTCAGTATCTTTCTGTCTGTGTGTCTCTGTATCTCTCTCTGTCTGTGTGTCTCTGAACACACAGACAGAGAGACACAGACCCCCCCCCCTCCCCCGTCTCTCTCTCTGTCCCTGTGATTGTGAGTGGCCATGGACACCCAGAGGAAACATTAACCATATGTTACGCTCACCCTTGTAGTTTACAGTGATATAATGGTGAGGTTAGGAGTTGCTCTTTCACACTTTATTAGTGTTGTGTGTGTTTCTCTCCCCTCAGATCTCCATGTGGAGGGGCTGTTCCGCATTCCTGGTAACAGTGTCCGGCAGCAGAGCCTGAGGGAAGCACTGAACAGCGGGATGGAGATGGACCTGGAGTGTGGAGAATTCCATCCCAATGATGTGGCCACCATGCTGAAAGCCTTCCTGGGGGAGCTGCCAGAGCCACTGCTCAGCCACAGACATTACAACGCTCACCTGAAGATCGCAGGTACATAACATAACATGTAGGAGCAGGAGGAGGCCATTCAGCCCTTCGAGCCTGCCCCGCCATTCAATCATGGCTGATCTTCTAATCTAACTCCAGCTAATAACCTGACGCTGCCTTATCCCCATATCCCTTAATCCCTTTTTGCAATAAGAAATCTATCTCTCTCAGTCTTGAATATGTTCAAGGACTGAGCGTCAACAGCCCTTTGGGGTAGTGAGTTCCATACATTCACCGCCCTTTGAGCGAAGAAGTTCTTCCTCAACTCAGTGCGAAAGGCCTGGCCTCTGATTTTAAGGTTGTGACCCCTGGTTTTAGTTTCTCCAACCGAGGAAACAATCTCCCACTATCTACTCTATCATTGCCTTTTGATGATCTTATAGGTTTCTAGTAACCCAGTAAATCTACACTGCACCCCTTCCAAGGCAAGTACATCCTTCCTTAAATAAGGAGATCAAAACTGCACACAGTATTCCAGGTGTGGTCTCACCAGAGCCCTATACAGTTGCAGCGAGACTTCCCTACTCTTATACTCTACAGGTTGTGCCAGAGCGCGAGTGCGCGCGCACACACACACAGAGCACAGTGACGGACGGCAGTTATTGATTGATCATTGAATGTTCAGAGTCTTTCTGGGTGTAGGAATGAAGATGTTTGTGCTCTCTGCTGTTAGATCTGATGGTGTTTGATGCGCTGGGAAACAAGACGAGTGTGGCTGACAAGGAGAGACAGATTGAGGCCCTGCAGCTGCTCTTCCTGCTGCTGCCCTCGGCCACTCGCAACCTGCTCAAGCTGCTGCTGGACCTGCTCTATCACACCGCCAAGCAGCAGCTCAGCAACAAGATGTCTGCACACAACCTGGCTCTCATGTTTGCCCCACACATTCTCTGGCCAAGAAACGTAAGCATAGGAAATGCACTGATGTTATACAGCTGCCATTCCACCTTAACCAGGCACTCAGAGCACAGCTGCCATTTCTGTATGGAATTCAATCCCTTGTATAATCCTTGCATTTGATACAGCGCTTTATCATGTCTTCAAGATGTCTCAAAGCGCTTCACAGGATATTGTAATGTGAATTGACTCTATTGTGGGTGAAATGCGCCTGACACATGGATACATGTGGCGTTTATTGTGGTTTCACAGCTGCTGGTCAGTGATCTGCAGGAGAACATCACCAGGTTGACCAATGGAGTGACGTTCATGATTAAACACTCCCAGAAACTCTTCCGGGTGAGTATAGACCTGTGGTTAGCTTTCTATCAAATCAGCCACTGGGTCAGGCTAAAGTGGGTACTGGCCAACTCGGGAACTTCCACGTGGAGGTGGGATGCTTGGAACTCTGTTTGCTTTGGATACTTTGAAGCACAGTGATGGTTTTCCACATGTTTTCCCAACTGACTAAACAAACATCTGTGTGTGTGCCTCTCTCCGTCTCACTCTCTGTCACTGAGGCTGACACAGCACCAGTGTCCAGCCCTAGTCAAGTTCTGTGTCAATGAAACATTAGACCCACTACTATAAGGTGTCTGTCTCAGCGCAGTTGCTAGACTCTCTTATACACTGGGTTTGGGTTCTTAACTGATGTTTAGCACATTCTGAAGTGGTAACAGTGCATATTGTAAACACTTCATCACTGCTGTGTGTGTGTGTCATGTTCACCACTCTAACCCTGTGTGTGTGTGTGCCCTGGTTGTCACTCGTAACACACTGTGAGTGTGTTGTGTATGTGTGTGTGTGTGTGCCCTGGCTATCATTCTTTAACACTGTGTGTGTGTGTGTGTGTGTGTGTGTGTGCCCTGGCTGGCACTCTTTAACACTGTGTGTGTGTGTGTGTGTGTGTGCCCTGGCTGGCACTCTTTAACACTGTGTGTGTGTGTGTGTGTGTCCTGGCTGGCACTCTTTAACACTGTGTGTGTGTGTGTGTGTGTCCTGGCTGGCACTCTTTAACACTGTGTGTGTGTGCGCCCTGGCTGGCACTCTTTAACACTGTGTGTGTGTGTGCCCTGGCTGGCACTCTTTAACACTGTGTGTGTGTGTGTGTGTGTGTGTGTGTGTGTGTGCCCTGGCTGGCACTCTTTAACACTGTGTGTGTGTGCCCTCGCTGGCACTCTTTAACACTGCGTGTGTGTATGTGTGTGTGCCCTGGCTGGCACTCTTTAACACTGTGTGTGTGTGTGTGCCCTGGCTGGCACTCTTTAACACTTTGTGTGTGTGTGTGCCCTGGCTGGCACTCTTTAACACTGTGTGTGTGTGTGTGTGTGTGTGTGTGTGTGCCCTGGCTGGCACTCTTTAACACTGTGTGTGTGTGCCCTGGCTGGCACTCTTTAACACTGCGTGTGTGTGTGTGTGTGTCCTGGCTGGCACTCTTTAACACTGCGTGTGTGTGTGTGTGTGTCCTGGCTGGCACTCTTTAACACTGCGTGTGTGTGTGTGTGTGTCCTGGCTGGCACTCTTTAACACTGTGTGTGTGTGTGTGTGTGTGTGCGCCCTGGCTGGTACTCTTTAACACTGTGTGTGTGTGTGTGTGCGCCCTGGCTGGTACTCTTTAACACTGTGTGTGTGTGTGTGTGAGTGTCCTGGCTGTCAGTGTAACTCTGTGTATGATCACTGTGTTTATAGGCACCGGCTTACATCCGAGAACTTGCCCGTGTGCAGTTTGCTGGATCACAAACCGCTGTGTCTAAGGTAAGCCGATATCTGATTATTGATTAACCCTGTAATGCAATGAAACATAACTAGGTGTAAACCAGTCAACTAGGACCTAACCTGACTGAACAGGTAGTGTGAGCGTCCCGACAGAGACAGCTTGTTCCCTAAGCCCTGCTGTTCCTCAACGTGTACCCCAACCTCCTCTGATGGTGTAGTTGTAATTATGATCCCCAACATGGACCACAAGTGTGTGTGTCTGTACGTGTGTGTGCCTTCACTGTTAGTAATGCTCTGTGTGTGTGCCTGGGCCCTCACTGTTTGTGATGCTGTGTGTGTCCTCACAGCCAGTGATGCTGTGTGTATGTGCCCTCACTATTATCGATGCTGTGTGTGTGTGCCCTCAGTGTTAGTGGTAGAAGCATAGGAACAGGAAGAAGCCATTCAGCCCTTCGAGCCTCTTCCGCCGTTCAATTAGATCATGGCTGATCCGTACCTCAACTAATCCTCTCGATTCCAATTTCCCGCTTTATTCCCATATCCCTTAATACTCTGACCTACCAACTATCTATCAACCTCACTCTTGAAGGTTTGGATGGATCTAGCATCCACACACAGCCTTTTGAGGGAGAGAATTCCAGATTTCTACCACTCTTTGAGTGAAAAAATGCTTCCTGATTTCACTTTTAAATGGCCTGGTTCTAATTTTAAGACTCTGCCCCTTGTTTTGGATTCCCCACCAGAGGAAGTAGCTTCTCTCTATCTATCCTATCAAAGCCCTTTATTATCTTAAACACCTCAATCAAATCACTCTTCAACCTTCTAAGTCCAATCCAGGTTTACGCAGCCTTTCTCTCATAACTGAACCCTTTTAAGCCTGGTAACATTCTGGTGAACCTGCACTGCTCCCCCTCCAGGGCCAATATATCCTTTCTGAGGTGTGGTGCCCAAAACTGAACACAGTCTCCAGGTGGGGTCTGATTAACACTCTATATGCTGAAGTAGCATTTCTTCCCCTTTGTATTCCAGGCCCTTGAGATAAAAGCCAGTATTCCATTCACCATTTTGATTACTTTTTGCACCTGGGAAATAGTTTTTAGTGATTTGTGGATATGGACACCCAAATCTCTTTGCTCCTGCACAGTTCTTAATTTCTCCCCATTAAGAAAATATTCAGCTTTATCCTTTCTCAGTCCATAGTGGATGACCTCACACTTCCCTACATTGAACTCCATTGCCACAGCTTTGCCCACTCACTTAATCTGTCTAAGTCTCTTTGTAACTTCCTACTCCCATCTACACAATTTACTGAGCCTCCGAGCTTAGTGTTGTCTGCAAACTTGGATATAAAACTTTCTAGTCCTTCATCCAAGTCACTTATATATATGGCCAATAGCTGGGGCCCCAGTACAGACCCCTGGGGGACACCACTTGTCATGTCCCGCCAATCAGAGAATGTTCCCTTTATCCCTACTCTGTTTCCTGCCTCCCAATCAATTACCAACCCACGTCACAAGTTTGCCTCCGACTCCATGCACTTACATTTTCAATAATAATCTTTTGTGCGGAACCTTATCAAATGCCTTCTAAAAGTCCATATAAATGACATCCACCATTTTAGTGACCTCGAAAAATTCAACTAGATTAGTCAGACACGACCTACCCTTTACAAACTCATGCTGACTCTCTTTGACTGGCTCATACCTGTCCAAATGTTCAGTCACTCTGCCCCTCATGATGGATTCCAAATTCCTCCGTTGTTTTCCCTACAACTGATGTTAAGCTGACAGGTCTGTAGTTCCCTGGTTTCTCCCTCCCTCCCTTCTTAAATAAAGGGGTGACATTTGCAATTTTCCAGTCTAAGGGCACTATTTCTGAATTTAGTGAGCTTTGGAAAATTATGATGAATGTATCTGCAATTTCCTCTCCAATTTCCTTTAACACCCTGGGTTGGAAACTATCAGGTCCTGGAGATTTGTCTATCTTGAGTCTCATTATTCTCTCCATTAATTTTTTAAAATTTATATTAATTTTATTAAGCATTTCTCTTTGACTTTTTTTAGGTTCCCCTGTATGACTGGTATTTTGTCCTCATCCTCTACTGTAAAAACGGTAGCGAAGTATTTATTTAACAAGTCAGCCATTTCCATATTTTCTGTTATAGTCTCACCTACATCTGTCTTTAACGGACACACATTACCCTTGACCATTCTTTTTTCTTTTAATATATTCATAAAAGCTTTTACTATTGGTTTAAATATCGCTACAAGTTTTTTTTCATGCTCCCTCTTTTGCTCCTCATATTACTTTCTGGGTTAGTGTTAACCCAGAAAGTAACCCTGTTAGTGATGCTGTGTGTGTGTATGTGTGTGTGTGTGTGCCCTCACTGTTAGTGATGCTGTGTGTGTGTGTGTGTGTGTGCCCTCACTGTGAGTGATGCTGTGTGTGTGTGTGTGTGTGCCCTCACTGTTAGTGATGCTGTGTGTGTGTGCCCTCACTGTTAGTGATGCTGTGTGTGTGTGTGTGTGTGTGCCCTCACTGTTAGTGATGCTGTGTGTGTGTGTGTGTGTGTGTGCCCTCACTGTGAGTGATGCTGTGTGTGTGTGTGTGTGTGCCCTCACTGTTAGTGATGCTGTGTGTGTGTGTGCAGGATGACCTGGCATTGCTGCCAATAGACACGTGCTCAGAGCTGCAGCTCAAGTGTCCGAAGCGGCACTGTCTGGCCTCAGCGGTGCGGCCGGAGGAAGAGGCACAACAGCACACAGAGGAGGCGCTCAAACAGCTGTTCAAGCACATAAGCAACATGCCTGACTCTGCCAAGAAGAAGAAGCTGGTTAGACAGGTATGTCTCCCCCGGTCGGTGTGTCACCGCTATGTTCTCGCCCTCACTCACTCTCCTGCTAATGTCAGGCTGTAATGTGACACAGAGCCACATCGCAGCCAGAAGGCAGACAATAATCCTCAATGTAAACCTGTGGCATCTGCAAAACTAACAATCTTGCAATGATAATAATAATAATCCCGGCATTTGATACAGCGCCTGATCACGTTTTCGAGACACCTCAAAGAGCTTCACGGGATCCACTGTAAAGTGAATTGACTGTATATTTTGTGAGCGAAACGCGGCAGCCAATTGCACCCAGCAGCGTCCCACACATAGCCTGGATTGAAGTGACCACATTATTATTATTAGTTTCAAATGGATTATTACCCCTGGAAAAGTGATCCACCGATCAGCTAACAACCGAGCTCCTACTTATTGCTGGATAAACAACAATAACAAAATGACATGTGTAAAGCGATGTCCCAATGCGCTGGACAGACAGAGTTACGGACCCGAGCTGAGGGTCGGGGAAGGTGGAGGGCAGGGGGAGAAGCAAGGAGATCGAAAGCATGGTCAAAGAGGATTGTCTTCAGATGGGTCTTGAAGTTAGCGAGGGAGGGGGCGAGGCGGAGTGACTGCTGGATGGAGTTCCGAGGGTGGAGGCAGAGTGGTGGAAAGCCCGCTCGCCAATCGTAGGGCAAGTGAGGCGGGGGACAGGAAGCAGGCCAGAGCCCGCTGAATGGAGGGAGCGAGCAGGATGATACAGGGTTAGGAGGTCAGAGAGGTAGTGGGGAGCTAGACCATGGAGGACTTTGAAGGTGAGGACCAGGATCTTGAACTGTATTCTCTGTGTGATGGGAAGCCAGTGGAGTTGGGCGAGGGGGTCGCGGAGCCTGGTACGGGAGAGGAAACGGGCTGCAGAGTTCTGGATGATCTGCAGCCTGTGGAGGGAGGAGTTGTGGAGGCCAACGAGCAATGAGTTTGCATAGTTGAGCCTCGATGTAAACAGGCGTGTGTGTGGAGTAAGGAAACTTGGCCAATGTTTTGCCCTGACCTGCCCGGGAATCGAACCCAGGTCACCTCGGTTGCGAGGTGATTGTGGTAACCACTGCACTCTGAGGCTCTGCTCTGTACACTCTCTGCTTCACACAATCTTTTTTCTTGTAGTTTAATAAACAGCCAATCAGTACATCGCAAGAACCCACTCCGCCGAGGGCAAGGAAACATGGGCGCCACCCCTCGTTTGGGGGCCTCATTAAAGTAAGATTACACTAGTCAGAGTGTGTCAGTGTGTGTGTCTGTCAGTGTGTGTGTCTGTCAGTGTAGTGTGTCTGTCAGTGTAGTGTGTCTGTCCGTCGGTGTGTCCGTCAGTGTATCTGTCTGTCTGTCGGTGTGTCTGTCTGTTTGTGGGTCGGTCGGTCTGTCTGTCGGTGTGTGGCCAGTAACACTTACCCACAAGTGAGAGCAGCTGAGTGAGGGACGAGCACAGCACCGCACACAGACAGACAGAGCATCACTGGCGCGAGTCACACAGCAGCCACCAGTATAGCCAATAGGAAGGCAGCGAGACACAACAACAACAACAGAATACATTTGTAAAGTACCCGTCACGTCAGGAGAACATCCCAAAGCGCTGGACACAATTGAGGACAAGTCTGCTTTATAATAATAATAATAATAATCCTTGCATTTGATATAGTGCTTTTCACGTTGGGAGGACGTCCCAAAGCGCTTCACAGAATATACTGTAAAGTGAATTGACTGTATATATTTGTGGGCGAACGCGGCAGCCAATTGCGCACAGCAATGTCCCGCAAACAGTCGTAGATTGAAAATGACCAATTTATTATTGTTTGTGGTTTTGGAGGATTATTATTAGGCTCTGTGTGGAGTGAGGAAACTTGCCCGAGGTTTGGCCCTGACCCCCCGGGAATAGAACTCAGGTCTCTCACTTGCAAAGCGAGTGCTCTAACCACTGAGCTACAGGACTTTGCATCGTTGTTGAGCTGCGTGGCTTAACCAGGCACTCAGAGCCGCCTATAGCACAAAAGGAGGCCATTCGGCCCATCGTGTCTGTGCTGCTCTTTGAAAAGAGCTTCCAAATCAACCCCACTCCCCCGCTCTCCCCATAGCCCCGATCAACCCCACTCCCCCGCTCTCTCCCCATAGCCCTGATCAACCCCACTCCCCCGCGCTCCCCTCATAGCCCTGATCAACCCCACTCCCCCGCTCTCTCCCCAAAGCCCTGATCAACCCCACTCCCCCCCCTCTCCCCTCATAGCCCTGATCAACCCCACTCCCCTGCGCTCCCCCCATAGCCCTGATCAACCCCACTCCCCCGCTCTCTCCCCATAGTCCTGATCAACCCCACTCCCCCCACTCTCTCCCCAAAGCCCTGATCAACCCCACTCCCCCACTCTCTCCCCATAGCCCTGATCAACCCCACTCCCCCCCCCCCTCTCTCCCCAAAGCCCTGATCAACCCCACTCCCCCGCTCTCTCCCCATAGCCCTGATCAACCCCACTCCCCCACTCTCTCCCCAAAGCCCTGATCAACCCCACTCCCCCGCGCTCTCCCCATAGCCCTGATCAACCCCACTCCCCCGCTCTCTCCCCATAGCCCTGATCAACCCCACTCCCCCGCTCTCTCCCCATAGCCCTGATCAATCCCACTCCCCCGCTCTCTTCCCATAAACCTGATCAACCCCACTACCCCACTCTCTCCCCATAGCCCTGATCAACCCCACTCCCCCGCTCTCTCCCCATAGCCCTGATCAACCCCACTCCCCCACTCTCTCCCCATAGCCCTGATCAACCCCACTCCCCCGCTCTCTCCCCATAGCCCTGATCAACCCCACTCCCCCACTCTCTCCCCATAGCCCTGATCAACCCCACTCCCCCCCCCCCCCCCTCTCTCCCCAAAGCCCTGATCAACCCCACTCCCCCGCTCTCTCCCCATAGCCCTGATCAACCCCACTCCCCCACTCTCTCCCCAAAGCCCTGATCAACCCCACTCCCCCGCGCTCTCCCCATAGCCCTGATCAACCCCACTCCCCCGCTCTCTCCCCATAGCCCTGATCAACCCCACTCCCCCGCGCTCTCCCCATAGCCCTCCAAACTTGTCCTAAATAATTATCTGCTTCTCTCTTAAAAGTTGTTATCGAATCGGCTTCCACCGGCCTTTCAAGGCAATGCATTACAGATCCCAACAACTCGCTGCGTGAAAAGATTTCTCCTCACCTCACCTCTGTTTCTTTTAGCAACTATTTTAAATCTGTGTCCTCGGGTTACGGACTCACCCGCCAATGGGAATAGTTTCTCTTTGTTCACCCTATTGAATTCCCTCATAATTTTGAAAACTTCTATTAAGTCTTCTCTTAATCTTCTCTGCTCCAAGGAGAATAATCCCCACTTCTCTTCCTCTCTTGAAAACTGAAGTCCCTCATTCCTGGTACCATTCTGGTCAATCTCCTTGCAAGGCCTTGACATCCTTCCTAAAGTGTGGGGCCCAGAACTGCACACAGTTCTCTAGCTGAGGCCTAACCAGTGTTTTATATAAAGGTTCATCATAATTTCCTAACTTTTGTATTCTATGGCCCTATTTATAAAGCCCAGTATCCCGAATGCCTTTTTAACAGCTTTATCTCCCTGTCCGGCCACCTTCAAAGATTTACTTATATGAACCTCCAGGTCTCTCTGTTCCTTCACCCCCTTTAAGATTGTACCATCAGCTTGTATTGCCTCTCCTCATTCTTCCTCACAGCATGCATCACTTTGCATTTTTTTGTACAGGGGAGTAACATTTGCAACTCTCCAGTCCTCTGGCACCACCCAAGGTGTCCAAGGAGGATGGAAAGATTGTGGCCAGAGCGTCCGCTATTTCCAGCCTTACTCCCCTCAGTAACCTAGGATGCATCCCGTCCGGACCGGGTGACTTATCTACCTTGAGCACCAACAACCTTTTTAGTACCTCCTTTTGGTTTATTTTTATCTTATCCAATTTCTCTACCCTCTCCTCCAATACTGTGGCATTGGCTGCATCCTCTTTTGTGAAGAGAGATGCAAAGTACTCATTCAGTACGTCAGCCGTGCCCTCTACCTGCACAAGATTTCCCTTTTGGTCTCTAATTGGATCCACCCTTCCTTTGACTAACCTTTTATTCTCTATATGCTCAGAGCCATCTTAATCAGGCATTCAGGACCAGCTCAGCCCGAGATCCTGACATGACACCATCTCAGTTACTAGTGTAACAAGCCAAGAAGGTAGAAGGTGAATTAGATGAACCTTGGTATTCTTTCATCCAGTTGTTCCTGTTCTTATAAATTGTATGTTAGCTGTAGACACAGTTATTAACCTCACACAGTGAAAAGCTGAGTCTGACCAGGATTCAAAGCCAAATTAGGTAAGAGCCAGTGGTGGAGATCTCAGTGATATGTCTACAGTCTTTAGCTGAAGGATTTCAAGGCATTGCAAAGAGTGGCTCAGGGGAAGGATGATAAACACCATGGTAGCTCAGGCTGTTTCTCTGTGTGTAACAGCGTAAAGTTCTGGGTGATCAGCACATCATCGAGAGAAAGAGCAAAAACCTGAGCCCTGACCTGGCTCCATCGTCAACATCAGCCGTTACTGACAAGGAGAACCAGGAGCAGGTGAGACACCGACCAACCCCCCAACCCATCTCCTTCCAACACCCACTCCTCTCCCCCCAAACCCCCCACCCCTCACCCACCAACCCCCTCCCTCCTCACCACCCAACCCCCCCCAACTCACCACCAATCCCCTCCGTCCTCACCCCCCAACCCCCCCTCCTCACCCCCAAACCCCCCTCCTCACCCCCAAACCCCCACCACCCTGTGCTGTCCTGCTATGTGCTGTGATTAATAAATATAGTAACAATAATAATCCTTGCATTTGATATAATGCCTTATCACATTGTCAAGATGTCTCAAAGTGCTTCACAGGATACACTGTAGAGTGTAGTGACTGTGTTTTGTGGGCGAGATGTACTATATATAATATACAGATGTGGCTCGTGTCTGACGGACAATTTGTTGTAGTTACAGAAGAATCTGGCATCACCTGTCCGGTGGAGAAGCGGTATTCGGCCGCAATCTACAGAGCAGACTCTGGACAACAGAGAGGTGACACTGTGATTCCCTGCTTTACCTTGTGAACCTTCCCAGTGTGTCTCTCTGACACAGATAACCTTCCCAGTGTGTCTGTCTGACACAGATAACCTTCCCAGTGTGTCTGTCTGACATAGATAACCTTCCCAGTGTGTCTGTCTGACATAGATAACCTTCCCAGTGTGTCTGTCTGACATAGATAACCTTCCCAGTGTGTCTGTCTGACATAGATAACCTTCCCAGTGTGTCTCTCTGACACAGATAAACTTCCCAGTGTGTCTCTCTGACACAGATAACCTTCCCAGTGTGTCTGTCTGACATTGATAACCTTCCCAGTGTGTCTGTCTGACATTGATAACCTTCCCAGTGTGTCTGTCTGACACAGATAACCTTCCCAGTGTGTCTCTCTGACACAGATAACCTTCCCAGTGTGTCTCTTTGACACAGATAACCTTCCCGGTGTGTCTGTCTGACACAGATAACCTTTCCAGTGTGTCTGTCTGACCCACTTAACCTTCCTAGTGTTTCTGACTGACATAGATAAGCTTTCCAGATAGTCACCATCCTTTTTCAGGCAGCAAATAAAGAAACAAAGCATTTGCCGAGCAGCCAGCTATTCACACATCGTGTCTGTGTCTACATTTTTTTTACATGAATCCCTTTTCCCAGTTCTCTCCCAATCCCTGAATGTTTACTCTATGTTTAATCGCTTTCCTTTGGATATGATTCTATTGATTTAGCTTCAATGGCCACTCGTGGAAATGGTTTACAAACCCCAACACGCCGTCTGGTCACCAACAGGCCTCAGATTGTGCGCCCTCACTCTGCTCATCCCATTCCCCCATCCCACTGCCACCCCACCATCTCCTTCCCCCCCATCCCTCTGCCCCCCCACCTCATCTCCTTCGTCCCCTCACATTCCTCCGTTCCCCCCCCCCCCCACCACGCTTACTGCTTGTTTACCTGTCAGACGGGACTTCTCTCTATTCTCTTTCCTGAAATGGAGAACTTCACATTTATTTGTATCAAACCTCATCTGCCACTTGTCTGACCATTACTCCAGGTTATCAATGTGTTCCTGAAGTCTTACATCATCCTCCTCAACAAACTACACAACACTGGTTACTCCTGCTGGATACTGTAAAAAGCAATGGGCTGTCCTGAGCCCTGGCTACCTCCCACACTAGTGACAGACCCCATCACCCGCCCGGCCTCTGTCCCTCACACCCTCCTCCATTCTACTGCTTTATCTTTAATATTCATTGATTACGTGCTGCCTTATCAGACTTTGTGTAAGAGGCTGAGGACAGTAGAATGTGGCTGATTTAGACACTGATATTAACATGACGGTCTCTAACAGTACTTCCTGTGCAGGAAGCGGCACTAACATCATTGTAAATACACAGCAAATGTCAGTGGCCTCTTCATTATGTTGTGTTTGACGTTGTGCTACATCTGGGGTTTAAAGGTGATGGGAAGGGAAGATGGAGGAGCAGCCGTTGTGATTATCCACATCTGATGTTTCACTCTTAACAAGCTTTTTTTTTGTTGAAAAGCAGGAATTCTTGAGAGGGAGCAAAATCCTATCAGCTGCCACTCCGGAGTCCTCCATTTAGCTGCCTGTGTCAGATGTGACTGACGTGAAGCGGTGGAGATGTTCAGGACAGAGGATGGATCGGCTCCAAGATACCACTAACCACAACTGGAACACAACTGTTCGCTAATAGATTAACCACGTGATAACTCTGTGTCATTTTCAATCTGCCTTGTTCCCTTGTGAGTTGGGGTGGGAGCTGACTCCAGCCATGGACCAGAGCAGCTGGGTGAGTGGTGGGGAGAGAGCGAGAGAGAAGGTTTGTGCAAGTACGTTAATGGTAAGAGGTTTAACGGTAAGAGGGACTGCTAGAAATCTGAGGTTCCACCGTGTGCAAACAACTGCCTGAGAACAAACTGATTTCTGTACATTTAAAGTTTGTAATGAAATTGTGAAGCCATTTTGTAGCCAGTCAGGGATTGCCTGGGGTGGGCACCGTGTGTCCAGCTTCCTGTGGCAGGGACAGCGAGGAGCTCCTGGTGTGAGGACAGCAATTTGTGGGCAGCTCAAGGAATATTTTTTAAAAATAATTCAATGTGTTCAATTATTTTTCTAATCTTCTCCCCACTGCTGCCTGCTTCTCTGCTGTTGGTCTGACCTCCTGCTGGTCCCTTTGCTACGCTGGACACGTGGCCATTTAATACAACAGCTCAGAGAGCTTCACAGGATTTACTCTGAAGTGTAGTGACTGTATTTGCAGACAAGCATTGTCTTTTGCTTGTGTCAGTGTTGGGAATGAGCTTGTTCGCAGATGGCAATAACACAAGGTGGATCAGGACAGCCTCGGGGATCAGGTTTAGGTCAAAAACTGCTCAATGCATAGCAGGTTAGAGGTCAAGGTCACATGGAGTGGTGGATCAGAAGGAAACTGTGTCGCTCACAATGAAACCAGTTTTATATTGTTTGCAGTCCTGAACCAAAGCTCTCGGTCTTGTGTTAACAGCTAATTAGTGCTTTGTATTGTTTGTGTTTCCCATTGATGTGATGTTTAGTACAGGAGCCAACAGCCAGAGAGTGGGAGTCTCACTACTTGTGCAGACATCTGTTTTCAGCACAGAAGGCGGTTTGGTTCATCGTGTCTGTATTACTGATATCTGTATTATCACTGTTATTAATCAATTAAGCCCAATTCCTGAGCCACATAGCCCTGCAGTACTCCGGGCAGTCTGGCGCCTCAGACTGGGAGCAGGGATTCTTCCCACTGAGCTCCTGTTAACACTGTAACACAGCGACTGAGCGGGCGGGGCAGGCTGTGGCCATCAGGACCTATCTCAGGGCATCACGGGTCTATTCAGACAATTTTTGTACTAAATTGTACTGTGAGCCAATCCTGTGTCAAAACCACTTTACTATCCTTACCCGTGTGTATAAATATAATAAAGAAGCTTTTATATTGTTTGCTCTGTATTATAATAAATGTTTAATGTTGGATAATTAAATGCAGGTTTTTGAGGGATGTTGTGGGAGAGACAGTCTGTCTCCTGCACGAGGGGCCAATCTCTATCTGCACGAGCTGCTGAGTGTCACCATCACCGGAGGCTGAAGTCTATGTTTAATCTCTGTGTCCCAAACGCTACGCCCCACATTAAACCACAAACATGGAGACTGACAGAAAAACAAGGCTGCATTTTTACATTTTTTTCTTCCTTTTATTTTACAAGGTTTTGCAAATAGATTCAGGAACAAAGCATTTTATACAAGAAATCAAATCCTGCACGGATCGCACTAAATGAAAACTGGCAACTTTATAATCAGGTTCCGCTCACCCCATGGGCTAAATACATACAAATAAAAGTTCCGCTTTCACTGCCCAATGAGCATAACCCAGCTTCGCCAGCAATGAAACACCTCGAAAACATGGTGTTAAAATCATTAACGCTTTCCCAGGAACAATGGGAAAAGCTTCACTTTGTAAAGAGTTTGAATCACTGACACAGAACCTTGAGAGGAAATAAAGTCAGATTACACCTGTAAGCAAAAGCAAAGTACTGCAGATCCTGGCAATCGGAAAAAAACATAAATTGCCGGAAGCACTCAGCAGGTCGGCAGCATCTATGGAGAGAGGAAAGTGAGTTAACGTTTCAGGTCGGTGACCTTTCATCAGAAACATTAACTCACTTTTCCTTTCCAAAGATGTTGCCTCACCTGCTGAGTGTTCCCAAGATTTAGCCTATGGCAGATTCATTGTCAATGACAAACTCTTACTGTCCCCATTACATCCATGTTATACGAGAGACACGTCTCCAGCACAATGCAGTGGCACAAAAAAATCAGAAAAAAACTAAACATCGTGAGAAAACCGTATGTCACAACAATTATTGTCAATAGGCAAAACAGAACTTAGTTATAAAAATAAAGTTCAGAAGGAAATTCATGACCCCCAGGTAAAGGAGCCGTATTACAGTTTTACACCATTCGCGTTTCCACAGCGTTGTTTATACCACAATGTGAGGCCTGTGGGTCCCAGTGCAAACACTGCTGATCCCAGGGCCTCGCCCCCAAACAAAGCAACGATCGATTCTGGTCCACTGGCTCAGAAGCAGCCACAGGCCCTTACCCACAGTCTGATTAGGAAAGGAAAGCGCGGTATAAATCAGGCACAAACATACAATTTATTGCTTTTATGCTGGCAGGAAGCGTGTTGCCCAACAGACAGGCAGCTGGGCAGAGGACACAGATTACAAAATGAATGATAAGAATATTACTAACACGATTATAATAATAATCCTTGCATTATATTGCTGGTTCTCACATATGTTAGGGTCCCTGCTCTCCCTCACCCCATGGAAGTTGACTTTGACATAAACAGAACATGGCAAAGAAGCCCTGGGCTGGGATCAGTTATTGCAGTTCCTTCTTTATGTGGCCAAAAGGTTCAAATGTGTCCTGAAATTAAAACTGTTCTTTGTCTCTGCTGCCTTGAGTTGGGTTTTGGTATTTGTAACAACTTTAATTTAATGAGCAAATTAAACAGTAACAGCCTCAGTCAGTTCTGGCTTCCAGCCTGACTGCTGTAACCATCATTGTTCAGCAACCTATTGCCATACTCATCCGCTCCCTTTACTCAGCGGTCTCTGGCCTGACCCACGTCCCCTACCCGACTAGGCCTTCAGTCTCTCTGCCCCCACCCTCTGGAACTCGGTCTACCTGAGTGACCCTCAGTAAGCATTCATGTGTACAATGTAACACACTCACACACTATATAATGTTTGCGTCTCAATGTACTGTATAACGATATCTGGCAGTAAAGATAAGATTCACAACAATGTGTTCCATGGGAATGGTAGGTCCTCGAGTTACAGTCAGATACAATTCCAGATTGTTGGATTTCGTAAATCGCAAAAAATATCCTGAAAGGTATCTCCAAACCTCACAGTGAGATCAATGCACCTCAGCCCACACACACATACACACTCGTACAGATACACATACACACACATACACGCATGTACACCAACAGGTGTCTCATGGTTACAGTACAAGAAAGAAACTTTAATAATAATCCTTGCATTTGATATAGTGCCTTATCACATTGTTGAGACCTCTCAAAGTGCTTCACAGAATATACTGTAAAGTGAAATCAGTGTGTTTTGTGGGTGAAAACAATGAACTAAGCAGTGAACAAGCGTTGGTGACAGGCAATGTGGTGCCACACATAGGGCAGAGATACATCAAACCCATCACCAGTGAAAACAGGCAGCTTTAACGATAAAATTAATCAGGCACCGTCACACCCTTTGAACCCCTCTGGCCCAACTCCCTTTAACCTCACCACTCTAACCCCACCCCCCTCTAACCTCAGATGGACCAGTTGCAAGGATGTGCCCATGGGTTTGTCTCTCTCTGTTTGCTTTGATCGAAGTGTTTTGTACATGACCCCCCCCAACAGCAATGGCATTAACTGCTGTGGGGAGAGGTGGTTCATTCTATGGTGGCACCTCATTGCGGCACTGAACCTGCAGCTGTTGACGGACGGAGAATTTTCAAACTGAGAAAACTGTTGCATATGACAATAGACACACATATACACATGCATACACACACACGCGGACATACACACAGGGTTAATGGTATGAGTGACACACAGACACTGTCCTGCAGAGTCTCACACACAGTAAAATCCTTACACAGTAAATCACTGGCCAACACACCCACTGGGTTGGAGGCTGGGGGCTGTGGGTTGGGGCTGGGGTGGGGTCTTGGGTTTTTTTTGGGCTGGGGGCTAGCGTGGGAGTTGGGTTTGGGACTGGGCTGAGGGGTTGGACTGGGGGATAGGGTGGCTGGGGGTTGGGTTGGGCTGGGGCCTTAGCTGGGTGTTGGGGATGGGGATCGGGTTGGGGTGGGGATCGGGTTGGGGGTTGGGGCTGGGGGTTGGGTTGGGGGTTGGGAGCTGGGGGTCAGTTTGAGCTGAGGGTTGGGCTGGGGGTCGGTTTGGGCTGGGAATGGGGCTGGGGGTCGGTTTGGATTGGGGGTTGGGCTGGGCATTGGGGCTGAAGGTTGGTTTGGATTGGGGGTTGGGCTGGGCATTGGGGCTGAAGGTTGGTTTGGATTGGGGGTTGGGCTGGGGACTGAGGAGCAGAGATGTCGCTGAGAGAGAAGCTTTGGTCTGGAGACTCCACGTTTACACTGTGACAAATCTAAAATTTCAATGTCCAAGTTGCTCTTTGTGTTTGAGAAACATTTACAATGAGGATAATTGACATTATAGTGGAGGCCACGAGGTTCCCATTTGCATGGATTTTTCCTGGATTTCCATCACCTCAGCCATCACTCCTCCTCCTCCTCCTCCTCATCATCGTCCTCGTCGTGGCAGTGAGTAATCTCTTGGGGGGTTTGGGGGGTTTGGGGGAACAGGTTGGGGGGTTTGATCTCACTGACCGAGCGCGTCAGGTGGTGACGTTTTTTCTCTGTTTCCTTAATGTCCAGCGACGAGCGGTTCCTCGTAGCCATCGGGGACTCTGCATCGATCTCCACATGGCTGTGCTCAACCGTGGACTCGTGAGGCATCTGAGAGGGGGATGGGAAGGGGAAGAGGGTGAGAGGGAGAGATTGGGGAGAGGGAGAGAGGGTTAATGTACTACGTACTAGAAAATTCTAAATAAACTTATTATGAAGTAAACGATGTCCAATGGCAGATCAGTGACATTAGCCGACCTAGTGGGTCAGACATTAGTCTCAAAGCGCTTTGAGATACATTAGAATATACACCACAGAAACAGGCCATTCGCCCCAACTGGTCAATGGTCCACATGAGCCTCCTCCTGCTCTTCCTCAACTAAGCCTTCAAGCATAACCTTCAATTCACGACGTGAAAGGCAATATATAAATGTAATCTTGTTATATTCCTTTCTCCCTCATGTACCTATCTAACTTCCCCTTAAATACATTGTGCTATTTGCCTCAATAACTCCTTGTGGTAGCATGTTCCACATTCCCACTACTCTCTGTGTGAAGAAATTTCTTCTAACTTCCCTATTTGATCTAATTGTAACTATTTTATATTGATGACCCCTGGTTTTGGTCTCCCCCACAAGTGGAAACATCTTCCCTGTATCGACCCTATCAAAACCTTTCATCATTTTAAAGACCTCTATCAGGTCACCTCTTACCCTCCTCTTTTCAAGAGAAGACTCGAAGCATGTTCAGCCTTTCCTGATAGATATAACTTCTCATCCTTGTGAATCTCCTCTGCACCCTCTCCAGTGTCTCTACATCCCTTCTATAATGTGGGGACCAGAACTGCACAGTATCTAAGTGTGGTCTAACCGAGGTTCTATAGAAGTTTACCACAACTTCCCTGCTTTTCATTTCTATCCCTCTAGAAATAAACCTCAGTGCCTGGTTTGCTTTTTTATGGCCTTATTAATAATAATAATAATAATAATCCTTGCATTTGATATAGCGCTTTTCACGTAGGGAGGACGTCCCAAAGCGCTTCACAGAACACACTGTAAAGTGAATTGACTGTATATTTGTGGGCGAACGCGGCAGCCAATTGCGCACAGCAATGTCCCACAAACAGTCGTAGATTATAAATGACCAATTTATTATTGTTTTGTTTTGGAGGGATTATTATTAGGCTCTGTGTGGAGTAAGGAAACTTGCCCAAGGTTTCGCCCTCTGCCTGGAATTGAACTCAGGTCTCTCACTTGCAAAGCGAGTGCTCTAACCACTGAGCTACAGGACTCCACAACCTACTTTTAGTGGATTGTGTATGTGTACCCCAAGATCCCTTTGCTCCTCTACCTCACTTAAGGTTTTTATTTTCCAGGATGTATGCGATTTCCTTATTCCTTCTACCAAAATGTACCAGCTCACACTTTAATACATTGAATTGTATTTGCCATTTAAATGCCCACTCAGCAAGTTTATTAATGTCTTGCTGTAATTTGCTGCAGTCCTCCTCTGTAATAACTACTCCCCCAATTTGGTGTTGTCTGCAAATTTTGTAAAGTGTAGTGACTGTATATTTTGTGGGCAAAATGCGGCAGCCAATTGCGCACAGCAGTGTCTGTCCCACAAACAGTCATGGGTTGAATGACCAAATTATTATTATTATTTATTTTGAATAGATTATTACCCCTGGAAAGTGATCCGCCAATCGACTAACAACCAGGTTCCTACTTACTGCTGGTAAAGAGAGGTGTATGGAGTAAGGAAACTTGCCCAATGCTTCGCCCTGCCCGGGAATCGAACCCAGGTCTTCTAACTACAGGACTCTAATTCTCTAACAAACCACTCTAACAAGCTACACACGCCTCAGACATGTACTCACCAGGACATGGGCAGCACGGAAGAGGTAGCTGAAGGGATAATACAGGAGGTTGATGAAGGAGGCGGCATAGAGGTCTGCGTAACGCATGACCTGGCTGGCGAACAGTGTCTGTCGTGAGCCACTGCGGAACAGGCTTCCCATCATCCCATAGCACATGTCCATGTCATGGGTCACTTTCTGAACCGGGGATAAAAGAGGGAGAGGAAAATGAGAAGGTGAGGGAGAGGAGGAGAGAGGAGAGGGTGAGGGAGAGGAGAGGGGAGGGAAGAGGAGAGGGAGAGGGAAGGGAGAGGGAGGGGAGAGGAGGAGAGTGGAGAGGAGTGTTTATACTGCGAGCACCATCACCAACATCAGCAGGCCTAACCTGAGGCCATCAACTTCCTCCCCCTCAGCTGCTCCCCCTCCCCCCTGGCCCCTTCTCCCATCCCCTGTCCCTACCCCCCACCCCCATATCTCCCTTCTCCACACCCTCTCCCTCTCACCCCTTTCCCCCCAACCTCCCCCTCCCTCCCAGCCTCCCCTCCCACTGGCCCAGGCGCTAACCTTGATGCGCCGCTGGATGGTGCTGATGTCTGGTCGCTCACTGCTGCTGCTATCTAAGTGTCTGAGAGTGAAAAACAGAGTAAACAAGCAGAATCCACAGAGAGTGTATGGAGAGTAGCAGGTTAGTAACAATAATAATAACTAATACTCTCTACTCCATGACATTAAATACTTGGTGTAGGGAGGATTAGTTGAATATTCTGTGTGTATAAAGTATACGTTTACTGGAGAGGTTACTCACACTCACACAGGGGGCTGACGGAGAGGTTACTCACACTCACACAGGGGGCTGACGGAGAGGTTACTCACACTCACACAGGGGGCTGACGGAGAGGTTACTCACACTCACACAGGGGGCTGATGGAGAGGTTACTCACACTCACACAGGGGGCTGACGGAGAGGTTACTCACACTCACACAGGGGGCTGACGGAGAGGTTACTCACACTCACACAGGGGGCTGATGGAGAGGTTACTCACACTCACACAGGGGGCTGACGGAGAGGTTACTCACACTCACACAGGGGGCTGACGGAGAAGTTACTCACACTCAGACCAGGGCAGAAACTCACTTGTAAAGTTCCGCCAGAAATATATCTAAACTCTGCAGCTCCTCAAACAATTCTGAAGAGGGAAGGAGAGAGGCTGTTTATGTTTATCCCTCACACACTCTGATACACATCTTTATACACTACCTGATACACACCCTTACACACTCCCTCACACACTTACTGATACACACCCTCACACTTCCTTACACACTGCCTCACACACTCCCTTACGCACTCCCTGATACACACCCCGATACACACCCTTACACACTCCCTCACACCCGATACACTCTTACACCCCCCCGATTCAGTCCGACACACACATTTACACACTCCGATACATACCCTTACACACTCCGATAAGCACCCTTACACGCTTCGATACGCACCCTTACACACTCCCTGATACACTCCCTTACACTCCCTGATACACTCCCTCACACACTCTCATATACACTACCTCATACACAACCTGTAACCAATTCTCCTGACGCTGATTCTGGGCTCTTTACCCTCAGACACCACCACTGTCTGTACGAACACGTACACACACAGCCTGCACACACACCGTGTATACACAGCCTGCACAAACGCGTACACACACAGCCTGCACACTTGTACACACAGCCTACACATACATGTACACATACAGCCTGCACACATGTGTACACAGACAGGCTGCACACACGTGTACAGACAGCCATCCACATACGTGTACAGACAGCCTGCACGCAAGTGTACACACAGCCTGCATACACGGGTACACACACAACTTGCATACTTGTGTACAAACACATGCTGAGCATGGATAGTGATATAATCAGCAGACACAAACCGAGCTGCAGACTGTGGGGGGAGGGGGAGAGGGTTACACTAACACGCTAACACGCACTGCTCTTGTCTGTCCACACGTGTAGCTCCTGTGCAAGCTCCGGGATGACGAGAAACGTCCGCCAGCCTTGTCGCTTCTTGGACTTGAGGATGTCCCCGAAGATGTGGTCCCCGATGTACAGGATGTCTTTCCCTTTGGCCCCCAGCAGGTCACCCATGATATCCGAGGATCCTGGCAAAGTCACCACGTCAGACACACTCCTCCTGCTCTCCATCACGGCAAGGACACAGCTACAGCACAGCACAAACACGGCTACAGCACAGCACGGACACGGCACAGACACGCGAGGACATGGCTACAGCACAGCATTGATACGGCGAGGACAAGGCACAGATACGGTGAGGACACGGCTAGGACATGAAGAAGGCACGGCACAAACACGGAGAGGACACGGCACAAACACGGAGAGGACACGGCACAAACACGGAGAGGACACGGCACAAACACGGAGAGGACACAGTACAGATATGGTGAGGGAACGGCACAAACACGGAGAAGACACGGCACAGATATGGTGAGGAAACGGCACAGAGAGGACACAACACAGACACAGTGAGGATCCGGTGTTTTACCTCCTGAGTAAACAATGCCGTGCTGTAGTGGCCCTGTGTGGGTCCCGATCTTCAGCTGTCCTGTCTTCTACACAGAGCAAACCTCAGTCAGTCACACAGTCAGTCACACAGACAGTCACACAGAGTCACAGACAGTCACACAGACAGTCACACAATCACACAGACAGTCACACAATCACACAGACAGTTACACAGCACTTCTCATTACCCCGCCAGGCTACCCGTTACTCACAGTGTCTACCTGCCGCAGGACGGTGCCCTCACTGAAGAACAGGGGTTTGCGAGCGTCCACCACGACCAGGTCAAAGTAGGAATGCCACTGCCGGTGCGGCGTGCCAGGCTGTGGGAGAGGCAGAGATCACCACGGCAACCAGGGCACCCATCAACCACGTCGCCCATCGACCAGGGCACCCATCAACCACGTCGCCCATCGACCACGTCGCCCATCGACCACGTCGCCCATCGACCACGTCGCCCATCGACCACGTCGCCCATCGACCACGTCGCCCATCGACCACGTCGCCCATCGACCACGTCGCCCATCGACCACGTCGCCCATCGACCACGTCGCCCATCGACCACGTCGCCCATCGACCACGTCGCCCATCGACCACGTCGCCCATTGACCACGTCGCCCATCACCCACGTCGCCCATCACCCACGTCGCCCATCACCCACGTCGCCCATCACCCACGTCGCCCATCACCCACGTCGCCCGGCAACCACAGCATGGCACTACAGGGGAGGGAGGGTGGTAATAAAACGGGGGCAGGAGGGGGCAGGTACATAGTGGGCGGGGGTAGGTATGTAGCACACACTGTGGGGGGGGGTATTTAGAACACACTGTGGGGCGGGTTTAGAACACACTTGGGGGGGGCGGGAGAAGGGATAGGGGTTATGGTTGGGGTGGGGCGCATGACAGACCTACCTTGGGACCATGGATGAAGTCGAACATATACGTCATGATTTTCTATAAGAGAAACAGACGGGATTCAGAGGTCAGCTCCAACACTGCAGCCCCTCCACACCCAACCCCCCCCCACACACAGGCACACGCAAAGATAAAGACAGACATACTCACAGACATACAGACACACAGCAGACAGACATACAGACAGAGAGACTGACACCTAGACATACAGACAAAGAGACACATACACAGACAGAGAGACAGAAAGTGAGGGTGGGGGTCACAGCGAGGGTGGGGGGGGGATCACAGTGAGTTACGGTGAGGGTGGGGAGTCACGGTGAGGGTAAGGGTCACGGTGAGGGTAAGGGTCACGGTGAGGGTAAGGGTCACGGTGAGGGTAAGGGTCACGGTGAGGGTAAGGGTCACGGTGAGGGTAAGGGTCACGGTGAGGTACCCACGTTGGTGTACGTGAAATCACTGTTTGTGACCAGAAACACTTTCCCAAACTCAGTCATTCGGCTCAGCAGAAGGGGCAGTTTGGGCTGTAAATAAGGAAATTGGTCATTTAGTGGCATTGTCAGAGGGGCTGAGAAAATCAGGGACCCCATCACCCAAACCCCCCAACACTCCACCCCATGACCCCAACACGCCAGCCCATCAACCCAACAATCCACCCATCGCCCCACCCCATCGTTCCCCACCTCATCACCGTACCCCCCTTACCTCTTTAACCACGTACATCTCCAGGTTTTCCAATGTTTTCTTTTTCAAAGATCCCTAAACAGAGAGAGGGCAGAGAGAGTGAGGGAAGAGGAGTCAGGCAGACAGTGTGGGACCCGAGGCTCAGTTCTCCCCCCACCCCCACACCACCCTGAGCTCACTCCAGCAGCAGATGGCATGTTCACAAGGCTCCAACATGCCTCGTCACCACACAGTGTCTCACACACAGTGTCATACACACACAGTGTCACATACATACACACGCACAGTGTCACACACACACACACACACACACACAGTGTCGCACACAGTGTCGCACACACAGCGTCGCGCACACAGCGTCGCGCACACACAGCGTCGCGCACACACAGCGTCGCGCACACACAGTGTCGCACAGTGTCAAATACACACATAGTGTCAGACACAGTGTCACATACACAGTGTCACGCGCACACACACACAGTGTCACACACACTGTGTCACACACACTCTCTCAAGTACAGTGTCACTAAGTTAAATGCAGTGTAAAAGCATTGAAGGTTTACCTTATAATGTACCCAGTCCACAGCATCTCTCACATCCTGGAACATACTCTTAAAGGACATGAAGAGATCACCTTCCTTACACCCCGTTTCACAGCTGTGTAACATACAGACACATCAGGTCATCTTCTGTCTGCTGCAAGCAGCACTCTGACAGTGCCCAGCCCAGCCCAGCCGGCCCCTAACCCTCAGCCCCCAACCCTCGCCCCCAACCCTACCCCCCACCAATGAGCTCAGATACTCACCTTGTGTACCGGGAGCAGTTGGTGAAAAAATCAACCAGACAAGCAAACAGGTAGGTCTCTGTAGACAGAGAGCGAGAGAGAGGGAGAGAGATAGAGAATGTAACAATGACAATGCACTATATATCTCAATCCCCAACCAGCAGCACTTTGGGTAATGGTCCTGTATCTCCCAGCCCACATTAGATGGGGATCACTCCCACTCAATCACATACACAACAATGTGATTATGTAGCCCCTTCACACGGACAATGTCTCGCAGTGCTGACAACTGCAGTTTGACGTCACTATACAGGGAGGGGAGGTTGGAGAGGAAAGTCTTCAAGTATGATTTGAAGACTGGCAAAAACGGGACAAGACGGAGGGATCGAGGGAAAGAATGGTGGAGAGGAGGGGATGAATGATGTGCTGCAAAAGACCTGAAGCAGCTGAGTGAAGGTGGTGGGTAGTGGAGGGGATGTGAGCAAATTGGAGGGAAGGAGCTGAGAGGATATGAAGGGATTTGAGAGTGAGATTGAGGATTTTGAAATCAATCTATTTTGCAACGAAACCAGTGAAGCCTGGAAAGGACTGGGTTGATGGGGGTGCAAAGCCTGTTATGGGCAAAGATACCTTGTTAACAATGAAGCCGGGGAGAACATTGAGGAGCACATTAGGAAATCAAAGCGGGAGGTGACGAAAGCATGAATGAGAGTTTCAGCAGCTTTGAAGTAAGATATGGGTGAAGATGACTGATGTGGCAGGTAATTGGGGGCTGATGTGGTAGGAATGGGGGGATAAGGAGAGGGTTGGGAGCATGCGTGTGTGGTGTGTGTGTGGGGGGGTAAGGGGGATAGGGGGCAGGGGTGAGGTATGTGTGGGGGGTAAGGATAGGGGTGTGGGCAAGGGTGACGCGTGTATTTGGGGGAGGTAAGGATAGGAGTGGGGGCAGGGGTGAGGTGTGTGTGGTGGGGGTAAGGATAGGGATGTGGGGGCAGGTGTGACGGGTGTGTGGAGGTGGTAAGGATGGGAGTGGGGGGGGTAACGATAGAGGCTGGGGTGGGGTCTTACCGGGCAGGTTGAAGAGAGTGTTGAGGATGTAGAAACGCTCAGTGTCGTCCCGCTGGATGAATTTGTTGGGATAGCGTTCCCTGATCTCTGGGCTGCAGCACAAACATAGTCACAGGGAGCACATACACACACAGTCACAGGGAGCACATACACACACAGTTACAGGGAGCACATACACACAGTTACAGGGAGCACATACACAGCCACAGTCACAGGGAGCACATACACACACAGTTACAGGGAGCACATACACACACAGTTACAGGGAGCACATACACAGCCACAGTCACAGGGAGCACATACACACACAGTTACAGGGAGCACATACACACACAGTTACAGGGAGCACATACACACACACAGTCACAGGGAGCACATACACAGCCACAGTCACAGGGAGCACATACACACACACAGTTACAGGGAGCACATACACACACAGTTACAGGGAGCACATACACACACAGTTACAGGGAGCACATACACAGCCACAGTCACAGGGAGCACATACACACACACAGGGAGCACATACACACACAGTCACAGGGAGCACATACACACACACAGGGAGCACATACACACATAGTTTCACATACACAGCCACAGTCACAGGGAGCACTTACACACACACACAGTCACACACACACACACAGTCACAGGGAGCACATGCACACACACAGTCACACCCTCCCCACCGAACCAACCCCCATCCCACCCCCTCCAAGAACCACGCCACTTCCCACTGGGAACCCCCCCCCCCACCTCTCCCACCCTCCTCACCGGGAAAGCCCCCACTCCCCACCCCCGCCCTCCCCCACACTCACCCTTTCATAAAGTTAAAGCCATGGACACACACCAGGATGTTTCCATATGCATCCACCTTCAGCAGGTTACCATACAGCGTGTCAAACAGGAGACCCCTGTGGGGGAACAATAACACACACAGACCCTCAGTCACCCCAAACGCCTCTCACAGGAGAGACACCACCTCATTGACACTGATATATATATATACACAAACACATATACACGCATACACACACACACACTAACATGCATGCAAACAACCACACACATGCATGCACCAACGCACATGCACACAGGTGCCCGTAAACAGGCACGCACGCATGCACAGGCGCACACACACACACACACGTGCATACACACACGCGCACGTTTACGTGTACGCACACTCGCGCACACACACGCGCACACACAGACACATATATATACACACACAAACACATACATATACACACACACATATACACACACACACTCCCAGTTCTCAGACCACATTTACCTGGTTGGAAACATGGGATCATAGACGAAGTTGACAAGCTCCTGAGGATAGCCGATGGACAGCAGACGCTCCACAGTCAGGTCAAACCCTAGAGCCTCGTACTCCGGGGACTTGTACACTGCAGGGAGAGATACCTTCACACTGTACACATACCCTCACACTGTACATACCCCTCACACTGTACACACACCCTCACCTGTACATACACACACATTCACACTGTAACACACACACACCCTCACACTGTACACACACACACCCATTCACTGTACACACACCCTCACTGTACACACACCCTCACACTGTACACACACCCTCACACTGTACATATACACACACATTCACACTGTACACACACACCTTCACACTGTACACACACACCTTCACACTGTATACACACACACACTGACTGTACACACCCTCACACTGTACACACACTCACACTGTACACACACACACATCCTCACACTGTACACACACACACCTTCACACTATACACACACATCCTCACACTGTACACACACCCCTCACAGTGCTCTCTGCGCGCTCTCTCTCTGTACTCTTTAACTTTGCTCCCTCTGTGCTCTCTCTGTGCTCCCTCTCTCTTTCTGCTCTCTCTCTCTCGCTCTGTGCTCTCTCATTGCTCTCTATCCTTGTACTCTCTCCCTCTGCTCTCTCACTGTACTCTCTGTGCTCTCTCTCTCTGTCCTCTCTCTCTCACTGTGCCCTCCCTGTGCTCTCTCTCTGCGTGCTCTCATAGAAACATAGGAATTAGGTTCAGGAGTAGGCCATTCGGCCCCTCGAGCCTTCAATAAGGTCGTGGCTGATCTTCTAACCTAACTCCATCTTCCTGCCTTATCCCCATATCCCTCAATCCCTCTATCCTTTAGATATCTATCAATCTCAGTCTTGAACATGCTCAAGGAATGTGCATCCACAACCTCTGGAGTAGAGAATTCCATAAATTCACTACCCTCTGAGTGAAGAAGTGTTTCCTCAACTCAGTTCAAAAAGGCTATCCCTTAATCTTGAGACTAGTTTTAGGTTTTCCAACCGGGGAAACAGTCTCATGGCATCTACCCTGTCCAGCCCCATAAGAATCTTATACGTTTCTATAAGATCACCTCTAATTCTGCTATATTCTAGAGAATATAGGCCAAGTTTACTCAACCTAATCTCATAGGCCAACCCCTTCACCCCAGGAACCAACCTAGTGAATCTATGCTGCACTCCCTCTAAGGGGAGGATGTCCTTTCTTAAATAAGGAGACCAAAACTACACACAATGTTCTAGGTGCGGTCTCACCGAGGCCTTAAACAACTGCAGCAAGACTCCCCTACTTTATTCCAACCCTTTTGCAATAAACGCCAACATGGCTTTAGTCTTCCTAGTTGCTTGCTGTACCTGCATACTAACTTCTGGTGACTGGTGTATAAGGACACCTAAATCCCTCTGAACACTAACACTATCTAATCTCTCCCCCTCTAGAAAATAATCTACTTTTCTGTTTTTACTACCGAGGTGAATAACTTCACACTTCCCCACATTATATTCCATCTGCCACCTTTGCCCACTCCCCCAGCCTATCTATATCCCTTTGCAATCTTTTTGTATCATCCTCAGAGCTTACTCTCCCACCAAGCTTAGTATCATCCGTGAACTTAGATATTTTAAGTTCTATTTCCTCGTCTAGATCATTGATATAGATTGTAAACAGTTGAGGCCTAAGCACTGATCCTTGTGGCACTCCACTAGTCACATCCCGCCAATCTGAGAAGGTTCCGTTTATCCCTTGTCTCTGTTTTCTTCCCGTTAGCCACTCTTCAATCCATGCTAATATATTGCCTTTAATTCCTTGTGCCCTAATCTTGTGTAGCAGCCTTTTATGTGCACCTTGTTGAATGCCTTCTAAAAATCTAAATAGACTAGATCTACTGGTACCCCCTTACTAACCTGCTAGTTACATCCTCAAAGAACTTTAAAAGATTTGTTAAGCATGACTTCCCTTTTGTAAAGCCATGTTGACTCTGCCTAACCATGTTATGGTCTTCTAAGTAACCCACTATCACGTCGCTAATTAAGGATTCTAGAATTTTCCCTACTACCGATGTCAAACTGACTGATCTATAGATCCCCATCTTCTCTCTCCCACCCTTCTTAAATAGTGGTGTTACGTTTGCGATCTTCCAATCAATGGGAACCGTTCCAGAATCCAGAAAATTTTGGAAGATTAAAAACAAGGCATCCATTATCTCAGCAGCCTCCTCTTTATAAACCCCAGGATGCAGGCCATCAGGTCCAGGGAATTTGTCATTTTTCAATCCCAACAGTTTCTCTCGTACTAATTCTTTACTGATGTTAATTTCCCTATGTTGCTCACTAACATTAGCTTCTTGGTTCCCCTCTATTTTTGGTAAGTTTTCAGTGTCTTCTAACGTGAAGACAGAAGCAGAGTATTTGTTTAATAACTCTGCCATATCTTTATCCCCCATTGTAATTCCTGCTGTCTCTGTCTGTAATGGACTCACATTCACTTTTGGTAGTCTGTTCCTCTTTATGTATTGCAAAAACTCTTGCAGTCCGTCTTGATGTTCCTAGCGAGTTTACCCTCATAATCCATTTCCTCCCTCCTAATCAGTTTCTTAGTCTTTCTTTGTTGCTCTCTGAAGCCCTTCCAATCCTCGGGTTTACTGCTCTTTTTGGCAATATTATAGGTCTCTTCTTTTAATTTTATACTTTCTCTAACTGTCCCTAACTCTCTTTCTCTCCCTGCTCTCTCTCTCTGTGCTCGCTCTCTCTGCTCTTTGCGCGCTCTCCTTCTCACTCTGCTCTCTCCGCTCTATACAGGGACTGATAATACAGGGGCTGGTTTACAAGGTGTAGCAAGCCCATTGGATGTCCCCTCTGCACACAGTGAGGACGGGATGGGCTGCTGTGCAGACACTCACCTGCCAGAGTGTAGTCCATGTCAAACCCAAAGCATTTAATCTTCTCCATGGCAAGACTTCTATTCACAAACACCCTGCAGGACACAAACCTTTCATTAGCCAGCTCTAGGGAACTGGGGTCTCAGCACGAGGGGGCGGAATCTTTGGCAGGAGGGCAGGATCTTGTCATGAGGGGTGGGTTGTCACGAGGAGGTGGAGTCACAGCACAAAAGGGCATGCTCCCGCACACACGTGCAGACACACACACGTGGTGGGGGGGAGGGAGTGTCAGACTAACCTTCCTGATGGGTCAGGTGGGGAAGCTCTATGGACTCAGGCTGGAGCCAATTTATTGTTGGACATTTCAGATCAAGGTCACAGAAAATCCCTTTTAATCTCTGCATTCATTCCCACTGTGCCAGCACAGTCACTATCAGCCTCTCACTATCAACAGGGGAACTGCTCAGTCCTCGCTGACCGGCACCACACAAGCTGGGAGCAACTCTCCCTGTGTAACGCTCTCCCCGAGGGCACACTCCTCCTGCAACAACCTGGCCTTATTTACAGAACTAAGCAAAATAATAAGCAGTTTTACATTTGATTCAGAATCTTTCACAGAACGTCTCAAAGCGCAGGATTTACTATAAAGTGCAACGAATGTGTATTTATTTAGATGCATAACAACATCCCACAAACAGCCATGGAGTGAGTACCAATTTTATTTGGAGGATTGTCAGCCAGGACACTGGGAGAATCTCCCTTCCTTTTTTGAATAGTACTATGGGATATTTAATGTCCACCTGAACAGGGAGATGGGACCTCAGTTTCATGTCTCAAATGAAGGACATGACCTGTGCCAATGTAGTGCTCCCCCAGCACAGTACTGTAGTGCCAGCATGGATTATCTGACTTCCAAGTCCCGACGTGGGCTGTCCGTGGCACCCAGTCTCATTAGAGTCCTGTAGCTCAGTGGTTAGAGCACTTGCTTTGCAAGCAAGAGGACCTGGGTTTGATTCCTGAGCAGGGCGAAATGTTGGGCAAGTTTTCTTACTCCAACGCCTCTTACCTAACAGTAAGTAGGAATCCGCTTACTAGTCCATTGGCAGATCACTTCTCCGGGGATAATAATCCCTTTGAAACAAATAAAATAATAATAGTTTTGTCACTCAATCCATGACTGTTTGCGGGACACTGCTTTGTGCAATTGGCTGCCGTGTTTTGTCCACAAAATAGACAGTCACTTCACTTTACAGTATATTCTGTGAAAGGCTTTGAGATGTCTTGTAAATGTGATAAAGCGGTACATCAAATACAAGGATTATTATTATTATAATGTCTGGCTGCCAAGTGCTGGATGAGTGGGGTGTACCTGTGATAGGCCTCTCGACGATACTTCTTCAAGGTGCTGCCATCCAAGTTCCCAGTGAGATCAGCACTCAGCTTGTCGCTCCAGGAAGACATGCCTGCCCAGGAATCTGCAAACACAGAAGTTAGTGTCACAGAGAGCAGCAGCATCAGCAACATAACGGAACAGTGCTGGTGCAGCATCAGCACAGCCTGTGAATAACCACCTAAACAACACAACTGTAGATAGAATCATCGAATCCATTGGGCCTGTGCCGGCTCTTTGAAAGAACGACTCAACTACATTTAAAATTACATTTGTGAAGCGCCGTTCATGTCGGGAGGACATCCAAGGCGCTGAACAGTCAGGGATCAGGACCCAAGCGTGGGGGGCAGGGTTGGGGTGAGGGAGGGCAGAGAGGTAGGAGGGCGGCTGAAGGCACAGTCGAAAAGGAGGGTCTTGAGTCATGTCTTGAAGGAAGCAAGGAAGGGAGCAAGGCGAAGGGATTGTGGGATGGAGTTCCATAGGGTAGGGGCTGGGGGAGGAAGGTGACCAAAGGCACGGGCGAAAAGAAAGATCTTCAGCAGAGACCTGAAAATGGGAAGGGAGGGAGCAAAACGAAGGGAGTGAGGAAGCCAGTTCCAGAGCCTCGGGGAATAGTGGCTGAAGGCACGGCCGCTGAGGGTGGAGCGGAGGACTCGGGGGACAAGGAGGCCAGACCCAGAGGAACGAAGGCAATGGGTACTTACCCCAACTAGTCCCACTCCCTCACTCTTACCCCAACTAGTCCCACTCCCCCCCACTCTTACTTCAACTAGTCCCACTCCCCCACTGTAATCAGCGGGCTCCGGCTGCTCCATGTCCCCCGCCGACCCGCCCTACCATTTCAGCCTCTCTGCCCCCACTCTCTGGAACTCCGTCCCACAGTCCCTTCCCCTCGCTTCCTCCCTTACCTCCTTCAAGGCCGGTCTCAAGACCCTTCTCTTCTCTTCAGGTCTGTGCCTTTGGTCTCCCTCCCACCTCTCTGCCTTCCCTCACCCCTACCCCTCCCCTGCCCCATGCTCGGGTCATGACCCCACTGTGGGACGCTGCTGTGCGCAATTGTCTGCCGCGTTTTGCCCACAAATACAGTATATACTTTACAGTATATTCTATGAAGCGCATTGAGACATCTAGAAGACGTGAAAAGCGCTATATCAAATGCAACGATTATTATTACAGAGAGCTGGCCGGATTCCTACGTTCTGTTGTCAAATATGTCACCTTGGAGTCAGTTCAGCTATAACGATGCAGCCTCTGCCTCCAGCACTTTACTAGAATGAGCTGTTACGACATGGAGCTTGAATCCACAACCTGTGACTTAGATGCGAGAGCACGATCAGTGAATCAGGCTGACAACTCGGATTAGACTGGAGAACTCTGAGATGCCGTCCGGCGTGGAGGGCGCTATAGAAATCCAAGTTGTTGTTGTTAGAGGAGCGAGCACCGAAACATATGATAGTTGAGTGAGCTCACTGGGTGTTGGATTCTGTGGGATTCATTATTGTTTTCTGTTTCTTTTTAACTTATTATTCCTCCCTTTCTATTCTTTGTCTCTCCATTTATATTGTGTTGAATAACACAGCCTGAAAGTGAATAACAGTTAAACTGATCGGCTGTTGCCGCAAGTCCGGCTCCGGCACCAAACCACTCAACAGCCACAATCACAGGGACAGGGAAGAGCTTCTAATGGACATCATCTCAACCCACAGATTCTCCAACCACAGCAAACAGCGACACACACACACACACTGAGCATCCAACCACAAACACAGTGAGGGGGCTGTGTGGGGCTGTGTGGGGGGCGTGTGGGGGCGGCAGTGTGGGGGGGGGGCTGGTGGGGGGGCTGTGGGGGGGGGGCTGTGGGGGGGGGCTGTGGGGGGGGGCTGTGGGGGGGGGGCTGGGGGGGGGCTGGGGGGGGCAGTGGGGGGGCAGTGTGGGGGGGGCGTGTGGGGGGGGGGCAGTGTGGGGGGGCTGTGTGGGTGGGGGGCAGTGTGGGGGGGGGCTGTGTGTGGGGGGGGCAGTGTGGGGGGGCAGTGTGGGGGGGGCTGTGTGGGGGGCAGTGTGGGGGGGCAGTGTGTGGGGGGGGCAGTGTGGGGGGGGCAGTGTGGGGGGGGCGTGTGTGGGGGGGCAGTGTGGGGGGCTGTGGGGGGGGGCGGGGGGGCTGGTGTGGGGGCGTGTGGGGGGCAGTGTGGGGGGGCTGGGGGGGCAGTGTGGGGCAGTGTGGGGGGGGCAGTGTGGGGGGGGGCGTGTGTGGGGGGGGCAGTGTGGGGGGGGGCAGTGTGGGGGGGGGGCAGTGTGGGGGGGGGGCAGTGTGGGGGGGGGTGGCAGCGACTTAAAGGGGCAGCTGATCCGGGTGCGGGCGGCTCTCCCCACTCGGCACAGCCTGACTCACAGCCCGGGGCGGCCGGGAGGTCAAGCCCGGGTGAGGCCGCTGTACCCGATCCCGGGGCTTAGGCCCCGCCTGGACACCCCGTTACCCAGGTAACCCGCGCACCGCGCAGGCGCCACTCCTGACGCCCCCCATCATGTTACCCCAGTGACGCCCCGGACCTGTTCCCCTGGAAACCGCCGTTATCCCGCGCGCCGCACTCACCGCTCCCGCCGCCAGCCCCCGCACTGCGCCTGCGCCGCTCCCGCCGCCAGCCCCCGCACTGCGCCTGCGCCGCTCCGCCGCCAGCCCCCGCACTGCGCCTGCGCCGCTCCCGCCGCCAGCCCCCGCACTGCGCCTGCGCCGCTCCCGCCGCCAGCCCCCGCACTGCGCCTGCGTCGCCCGCATGCCCGCCGCCAGCCCCCGCACTGCGCCTGCGCCGCTCCCGCCGCCAGCCCCCGCACTGCGCCTGCGCCGCTCCGCCGCCAGCCCCGCACTGCGCCTGCGCCGCCAGCCCCCGCACTGCGCCTGCGCCGCCACCCTCCTGCACTGGCCTGCGCCGCCAACCCAGTATATAATAATAATCTTTGTATCGGATGTCGCGCCTTATGATTGAGAGGCGTCTCAAAGCGCTTCACAGGTTACCGCCTGAGTATAGTGTCACAGTGTAAAGCTCATTACACAGTTATTTAATTATCAATTGCAATAAAACCCACAAACTACAAAGCCTTCAGCTCTTCTCTCGACTCTCTCCCCCCTCCTCGCTCCCCCCCTCCCCTCCCCCTGACCATTTCCCCCCAATGCTCGGGTCCTGACCCAACTGTACAGTGCCTCGGGACGTCCTCCCGACGTGAAAGGCGCTCAATAAATGGAATCTTGTTGTTGTTGTACATGAGAACCAGCAACGAAACATTACACCTCAGCCTTATCCACTCCGCCACAGCCGACCTCATTGGCAGTGGCCGAGGGGCTCGGCCTTGGCCTCGAGGAGAGGCGTTAAATCTTCCCTGTCTGTGCCTGTTCAGGTGGATGTCCGGCTCCTTGGGACGTCCTCAAATGTATTGCACTATATACATGCAATTTTTTGTTGTATAAAAATAAACATTTTAATTACAATTTGTTGTTTAAAAAATATCAAAAAAAATGCAATTTGTTCCATGGCTTGGGGGACTCCAGAGTGCGCATTGACAGAACTGGTGGAATCTAATCAGCTAAAACTACATAGCTTACCATTGATATCACTGTCTGGCAAGCTTTCCCACTACTTGTCCAGTTAGGACCACCCTACCTATTAGGGCTTTCATTTGCAGGGTTATTAGGAGCTGAGTGGGAGGATTCCTGCCTCCAGTGATTGGTCGGCCCTTCCAAGTCCTATCGATGAGCCAGGCTGTGCTGTCATCATTCCCTGGTACTGATACCTGCGGACCCGCCTGGGTCAGGAACCAGACTGGAGACAATCACAGAGTGCTGGCCGATTCCATCACCAGTTCAGCTCCAAGGAGACCCTGCTTACCTCCACTCTGGGCGGATGGTCACTAGTTGGTTGGTTGACATCCACAAGCGCAGGTTTGAGCCCTCATTATGTAATGCTCAGTAAACCAAGAAATCCATATAAGTGTCCTGGTGGGCAACACAGCTCAGCATGGAATGTGTGAGAGCATTGCCAACATTTCCATGTCCATAGCTCGGGCACACGTTCCTTCTCATTGAGCGCTGATTCCACCATTTGAAGGTGTGGAGTTTAGGCAGCAGCTGCTTACCTCTCTGCCAGTCAGGGGGAGGAGCCGGAGTGTCAGGGGGAGGAGCCGGGGTGTCAGGGGGAGGAGCCGGAGTGTCGGGGGAGGAGCCAGAGTGTCAGGGGGAGGAGCCAGAGTGTCAGGGGGAGGAGCCAGAGTGTCAGGGGAGGAGCCAGAGTGTCGGGGAGGAGCCGAGTGTCGGGGGAGGAGCCAGAGTGTCGGGGAGGAGCCGGAGTGTCGGGGGAGGAGCCAGAGTGTCAGGGGGAGGAGCCAGAGTGTCAGGGGGAGGAGCCAGAGTGTCAGGGGGAGGAGCCGGAGTGTCGGGGGGAGGAGCCGGTGTCAGGGGGAGGACCAGAGTGTCGGGGGGAGGAGCCGGGTGTCAGGGGGAGGAGCCAGAGTGTCAGGGGGAGGAGCCGGAGTGTCGGGGAGGAACCGGAGTGTCGGGGGAGGAGCCGGAGTGTCGGGGGGAGGAGCCGGAGTGTCGGGGGAGGAGCCAGAGATGTCAGGGGGAGGAGCCGGAGTGTCGGGGGAGGAGCCGGAGTGTCAGGGGGAGGAGCCGGAGTGTCGGGGGAGGAGCCGGAGTGTCGGGGGGAGGAGCCGGAGAGTCAGGGGGAGGAGCCGGAGTGTTGAGGGGCGGGGCCGGAGTGTCGGGGGGAGGAGCCGGAGTGTTGAGGGGCGGGGCCGGAGTGTGGGGGTGGGGGGGGCGGGCCGGAGTGTCGGGGGAGGAGTCGGAGTGTCGGACCGGAGTGTCGGGGCGGGACCGGACGGTCGGGGGGCGGGGCCGGAGTGTCGGGGGGCGGAGTGCGGGGCGGCCGAGTGTCGGGGCGGGGCCGGAGTGTCGGGGGCGGGGCGGAGTG